CGACGGATAACATAAATGCTTCTGCTTCGCATCGCATTAAAAACTCGCGACGGATAACATAAATGCTTCTGCTTCGCATCGCATTAAAAACTCGCGACGCATAACAGAAATGCTTCCTGCTTCGCATCGCATTAAAAAAAAACTAGATGGTATCCGAGTTTCACTCGACTACGAGATGCGGTGCGAAGCAAATACGCGTTACGTGAAGTCATTTTTTAAAAATAGAAAAAAGATATATTAAGTTTGATCTTGAAATTTTTTACCTAGATTTTTAACGAATTTTCTATGATTTTGCAATTACGAGATCATCGCGCAACAAAATGATTATTTTAATGCGTACGCATCAGATTATAAAGTTAAAAAAAAAAAACTCGCGACGGACTACATGAATGTTGTGCTTTGCACTGCATTAAAAAAAAAGGTTTCAATAGAGCAGATGATTGAAATTTAAAATACACTTAGAGCACCTATTGTCGAATCTATCACTACAAGAACTATATCAAGGTTCATGAGCGTGTTCTTATAGAACGATTTCGATTGAACATTTAAATAAATCTATGTTTTATTATGTAGTTTTAACAGTAAATTAATTGACGCGTGGGTAATTTTTTTTCCATTACATCGTTCTAATCATCGGGAATTCTGAAAACGAAGAGTCATTTCAAAGTAGTTTTTTTTTGGAACGATATCTGTGAGCGTACTGAATGTCCAATGAAAGATGGGATAAAAGATATTAACAGGTAGATCTTGATACGTTTACAATGTGTTAGAACGAGTTATGTGTGATTTTCTGGTTTTGAGATTATCATGACAGAACATGACCTGATATGATGTGCGCGTATAGTTCCAAGGAGAAAAAAACGAATAATCGGTCTTGGCTTCTCAACTTTCATTTCTTAGTGGAAATGACTTTGCTCTTTATGTAGAAAAATTTAAAACGAAAAGTTTCTACTCAGCAGCTGATCGAAATTTCAAATACTACTTAAGTAACCATTAACAAATGCATCACTGTGAAGACTTCATGTATGTTTAGCAACATGTTTTGCAGAAAAGATTTCGATTGAACGTTTAATTATCTCAATGATTCAATATCTAGTATCAGCTGTGAGCGAATACACTAGTGGCTAGCATTTGCTGATGACGTCATTTTAATTAGCGCGAACTTTGAAAATTGAGAAATTCCTTTGATTTTTGTCATTTTGGAACTAGATTTGTGAGTGAACGAAATTTCAGATTGATGATCCGAAAAAAGATGTTCGAAGTTCGATCTGAATACTTTCGTTTCACGTTTTAACGACTTTTTTATGATTTTGCGTTCTCGAGATCATTGCGCTACAAAATGGCAAAAAAAATGCGTACGCGTCAAGTAAAAAAGTAAAAAAAACTAGATGGTATTCAAGTTTCACTCGAATACGAAATGCGATGCGAAGCAGGAATCTCCATCCAGGAAAAATCTGCAATTCAGAGAAATCTTGAATACTTTTTATGTCGACATGATGAAATTCATCACTCAGAAAACTCTATTCTTACTTNAAAATGATGCGTACGATCTCAAGTAAAAAAGAAAGAAAAAAAAAAACTCGCGACGGATAACATAAATGCTTCTGCTTCGCATCGCATTAATAAAAAAATAAAAAGAACTCGCGACGGACTACATAAATGCTTCTGCTTCGCATCGCATTAAAAATGTTCGATTCGATCGCATATGTATTGATGTCAGCAGCGGCGGATGACGCTATCAAAAACTTGTATCGCTTGCAGCGGCGCAACGGCTAAACTTGTTTTATCGCAGCGGTGGCTTCCCAAAAAGTCTTAAAATTACCAGCAATTTGGTGGCTACGGCGGCTAATATTATAGAAAAATCGGCTGCTGCGTCGGCTCAGCCGCACGGCTGACACCTCTCTCTCTATATATATATTTCAAAAACATACATTCCTATTCAAGTTCAGACCAAAACCATTGAAAAATATACCAATCGATCGTCCGTCTCACGATGGAAAACTCTCGCAGTCGTTGAGTTGATATGATGAAAATATTTATTTTGCATGAAGATATTCAATTCATATGAAAGTGATAATATTTATTTGCAAAGATTTATTTAAAATGATAAAAATCACAGTTAATGAGATTGATCAATGTCAGACTTCTCCAACTTCAAGCAAGAATTCATCAGATCTTCTCGAATGCTCTTCTACATAGGAAAAAAGTCAGAGCGCGCATATTACTTCATTTTACATTTGGTCGACTATTTTCATCACTAGTTAACTTCAACGAGACAATTATATCAAGCAAACTTCGTATACATTATTATTTTAATATCAGGATTCGAGTGTCTACATCTATTAATGAAAAAAGGATCAAATCGTGTTTCAGAAATTCAATCGAAATTGGTAAATGTATTAGAAAACAGACGCTAATTTTTCGATAGAAATCACTCATGTTAGATTTAAAATATTCGATTCCTTTTTCTAGTTTGGACAGTTTTTATTTCCTGAATCTCTGATGTCATCGTCAGTTCGAAATTCTCTATAAAGTTGAGTCAATTATTAACTTTTAATAACTGTTGTATTTTTGGTTTTTTGTTAAATCTTTTCGTTTGTTGACAAAAGATCTCTGCTGGCCAATCAGCAGACAAGACAGAAAAAAACACGAGAAGAAAGTTAGAATAAAGACAAAAGAAGAAAACAGTGCGTACATATATATGAATAAATCCGAAGTACGCAACAAGAAATATATACGTACACATCGAGCATGCATAGAAAATAGTTTTTAGTTTTTTTATTTGGTCTAAACATCTGAGAGAGAACAATTCCATGTATGAAGACGGAAGAGAAAAAGAATCAGGCAGCAGAACTAAAAACATGTCAAACAGAGCAAAAGAAGAGTGAAAGTGACATAACAATCGTCAATCAAGAGAAGAGTATCACATCAAGAAAGAGCCAAGAAAACGAAAAAGAACCGAACATTTTTTGTTTGATTTTCTGTTATATATAAATATAAACAAGAAAAATAAGAAGAGTTGGAAAGAGAAAAAGAACAAAAAAGAAATCATTGTTTTATTCATGATTCGGATGTTTTTGGCTGCATCTGTTGATGAGCATAAGCAGCAGCCATATCAGCATAGCTGTTCGGGGAACTAAATTATGTAGGAAATTATTGTTTTGAAATATATAATGAAATTCTTTTTTTCTTCTGACGAGCATATCTTACATAGAATTAGCCGTAGATGATTGAGATGAAGAAAGCCCAGTAGCTTGTTGCATATACATATCGTAGTACTGTAAATAAATTGATTGAAAAAGTTCAGGCCCTGATAACGGTGGTGGAGGCGGTGGCGGAAGAAGTGGAGGTGGCGGTGGGGGTGGCGGTGGTAGAGCATTTTGGGACGAACGATTATTTCTATTGTTATTACCACTGCCAGTACGGTTCGATGCTGACGATGATCGAGATTCATCAAAGGGTGGTGGAGGTTGAGAGAAATTACTTGAAAATGATGAACGATTGTTATATGAAGATTGATCATAACGTGTTGGCACAGAATCGTAACGGCGAGGGCCACGAGATGAATTACTGTCGCGTTCTCGATGATAACCACCACGATAATCAGACGATGAATCACCGGTAGAATCATGATAGGATCTTCGATTATTATTTCCGCTTGGATGATGTCGATTACGATCAAATTGGTGATGATGTTGCGATGTTTGTTGTTGTGAATGATGATGATGTGAATCATAGTCAGATGTTGTACCAGTATTTGTTGAACCAATTGTATTATTTACTTGTTCAGATCTCGAAGATTTTGTTAATGGCATTGTTGTTGTATGTTTAAGACGTGTATCTTTTACATTACGATTATTGTTAGTTGATTGAGACGATGATCCCCAGCCAGCTTTTCTATAGGTTTCATCTTGTTCTGTTTGACGATTTTTTGTATTTGATTGTGAATATGGATTATACTGCTGATGTTGATGATAAGAAGATTTTTGTGTTTGACTCGATGATGAACTTTCTTCACTACGTTTTTTAACAAATGTTCGATAATATTTTCTTAGTTGACTATCAGTTAATTTTGTAGTAAATTTTGAAACAAATGTCCATAAATGATAACGATATGTTTGATAGTCATCATCTGTTTTTGTTTTAAGAACAGTTTCAATTTGATCACCGATAGTTAATAAACATTTTTCGAATTCTTTTGTATAATCATCCTGAGAATCAAATGCATCTTCAGGTGCGTCAAGTCTGCTAAGCCATTTTTTCATTGGACGAAGTAATTCTCGACACTAAAAGATACACGCCATTCAATTTTCATGGTACGAAAGAGAACATTGACTTAAATATCTCATTCTATTTTGTTATTGCAAGAAGATGAACATAGGATGAAAGTACAATTTATTTCTCAATACAGTCTGTCTCTATGCAGAGTTTCAAATCAGTGTATCTAATGTTTCATAGGTAAACTACACGACTCGTTTAAGAAATACTATGACATAAAGTGATAGAGAAAATATTTACCTGTTTAAACATATCACTCGATGCATTTTCTTCTTCGTTTTTCGATGATTTCGATGCCTGAAATTTACAAGTAAGATACAAAAGTAGAAATGAAACATTTTTACTTTATCGTCAGTATGTGTATGAGCTCGATGTTCTGTTGGTTTCCGTTTCATAGATTTATTCGTTGTTGATTCTTCATCACCACTTGAATTATCAATAATTTCTTTTGATTTCGGTTGTTTTTCAGAATTCAAAGTTGTTGGTCCATTGACACGTCGTTTTATTTTTTTGGAATCAGGTCCATTAATATGTTCTTCCGTTGTATTTTTCGACTTTTTCGTTGGTACTTGTGACACCGGAGTTTTCTTCTTTGTTATATCTTTTTTCTTATTCAATGGATTATCATAATATTGTTTTAATAAACGTAAAAGATAATCTGCACGTGTTTGTAAATGATTGGCTTGTGGTTTTAATTGTTTATCATCAAGAAGAATTTTCGATGAAAGACCTAATTCTGGCTCCATTTTAATTTGTTCCCAATTGGAATAACCATATTCATAGATGCCACGTAAGAGAGCTTTATCATCTTCCAATGACCATGAACATGACCAATGAACAGGTTTTATTTTAATCGATGATGGAAATGAAAAAGATTTTCGTTGTTCATTATGTGATTGAAAAATTTTTTTCAATGGTTCTAAATCACGCATAGAATTAATCAATTGTGTGGCATTGATTGTAACATTATGTATGCGTATTGTTGGAATTTTATCACGGTGATTCGTTGAATCGTCTTTAGGTGACGATGATGATTGTGTATGATTATTTGGACTTGTATCATTTTTACATTGTGCAACAGCCATTAAACATTCACTATGTATATAATTAGTTAATTCTTCAATATCTTGTCTTGATTTATCTTCTAATTCAGCATCCATTGTAATTAAATCGAGACGATGAAGTGGATCGGAAAATTTCTTGAAGCTTTTGATAAATTTTCGAATTTCATTTGTTGTAAATTCATTCAAAACAATGTCCATATGTGAACGACGATTTGTATTATTATTATTATCCAAATCTGATTTTGAATTAAACAATTCTACACGTTTACGACTGCGTGGTGGTAAGGCAGCTGTTAATTCAGCTAAACATTCATCATCAAATTTTTGTCTTTCAGATTCTGGTATAATATCTTTCCAACTTTTTGTTCTATTTACTATTGTTGTTGGTTCAATAACATCGTCTTCCATCGTTTGTATGTTAGCTATTTTAAATTGTGATAATAAATCTTCACTACTATTGCGCATAGACGAATCATCATCGTGGCGAATTTCAGCACGATGAAGAATTTCATCGATATCAATCTTTTGCGATTCTTCTTCAATTGTACCTTCTTCGTGTACTGGCGTTTCTTTAAATAAATCTTCAGCACCAAATTTAATTATAGTATTCAATTCTTCCTTGGTCAATGGACGACTATCATTGGTTGTCGTTGTCGCCGATGTATTATTTAAATTTTGAAAGGCATTACGACCTGTTGTATCCATACGTTGAATAACTAAATGATCTAAGACCATTTTTTGTTTAGCACGTTCAATAATTGTTTCTTCAACGGATTGTTTGGCGACAAGACGATAAATATTTACTTGTTTTGTTTGGCCTATGCGATGAGCACGAGCTTGAGCTTGAAGATCATTTTGTGGATTCCAATCACTATCATAGATAATAACAGTATCAGCAGTAGCTAAATTAATACCCAAACCACCGGCACGAGTTGAAAGAAGAAAAATAAAATCCTCAGATCCATCACGATTGAAACTATTCAATGCTTGACGACGTATTTCACCTTTCATCGAGCCATCAAGTCTCTACAATACAAGATTACAAAATATTATATTTATTCAAAACCAATGGATCATTTTTGGACGCCTTCGAATTGACTAAGATTACATCACTCTACCGAAATCATGCTCACAGCTTGGAGCTAAAAAAGAAACCTCTTACCATGATGAGCTTAACATCAATTCTATTGCAAGAGTGTGAAGGAGTAAACGACCAAACCTTACACTTCAACCTATAGTCGAATCTTAGATGAAAATATTTCACTTTTGCAAGCAAAATGTATGATAAATTCTTATACTATGATATTCCATTGATGATTAATTTTAACAATAACATATTACATTCAAGCGCTCAATAGCAGAGAAACTTAGGTCCTTTGAGAAGTCGACCGCTTTCCCATAAATTACATGATATTGAATATCTACTGATGATCGATTAATAAATATCAATCCTTAACTCATAATCTTATGCCAGTTGATCTTTCTAACTAATAATTTCTAGTAAAAATTTTTACCTGGAATGGAAATCGTCTTAATTTACAATATTCAGCTAAAATATTTAGCATCTTAACCATTTGCGAAAAAATTAATACTCGATGATTGCTTGCACGTAATTTTAACAAAAGTTTATCTAATAACAATAATTTTCCACTACCTTTGATAATTTCCTGAATAAAATGAAAATAAATTCAATAAAAATTCTATACATATATTTAATATATCGGTATCTTACATCGAGCGTTGTATTATTTTCTTCATCACGTTTAACAAAAAATGCATGATTAGCACATTTTTTCAGTTCCATCATAATATTAATAAACGATGGCAAATTTCCTCCACGTTCATTGGTTAAAGCACGATAATTTCTTGTTAATATCCATTTATAATATTGCTTTTGTAAGCGTGTCATTTCGACCCGTAAAATTTGTTCCACTTTAGCTGGCAACGATTTTTCAACATCGCGTTTAACACGTCTCAACAAAAATGGTTCTAATTCTTTATGTAATTCACTTGAACGCTTAACGAGACTGGTATCGTGAGTTAACAATGATGAATATTTGGCATCGAAATTATTCCAATCATCAAAATAATTCGGCATGATAAAATGTAATAATGACCATAATTCTTTTAAAGAATTTTGTAATGGCGTGCCGGTTATTAATATTCGATGTTGAGATTCGAATTGTATTAATGTACGATAGAGCATTGAATCATCATTTTTCAAACGATGTGCTTCATCAACAAGAATAACACTCCAATTTATTGATGATAAATATTTGCTATCTTTTAATAAAAAGTCGTATGTTGTCAATAGTGCATGAAATTTCAATTGTTTCTTATTTCCCGATGCGAACATTTCGAAGTGACGAATTTTTTCACGTGATACCATATCACCAATATATACAATGGTATTCATATGTGGTGCCCAACGTTGAAATTCTTGTTGCCAACCTTGAATTGTTGATAAAGGAACAACGATTATAAATGGACCATGAAAATTATGTTCTTCATATATATACGAAAGAAATGATATTGTTTGAATGGTTTTACCTAAAGCAAGCAAGAAAGAAAAAATTGAATTGTTTTTGTTTCAATAAATAATATATTTAAAGATGACGAAAAACTTAATGATTATTTTTATATCAGTTTATTGAATTCTAACATCTTCGCTATTTTAAATCTTACGAAATTAAGTCTTATGCAGAAGAAAGTACATCACTTATATTCTTCTCTGTTAAATTTTAAAAAGAAAAAGAAATTAAAAAATATTTACCAAGTCCCATTTCATCAGCTAAGATAACTGAATTTTGTTTACACCATGAATGTGCTAACCAATTTAAACCTTCTAATTGATAATCTCTTAGTTTAAACTCGGTTTCATTTGGTGCTAAATACAATGGTTGTACTGTTATGGGTGAAAATCTTGGTCGAATTATGTTATTTTTCTTTCTTCCACTTGCACTGCTTTGTTGTTGTTGTTGTTGTAATTGTAAATCTTCATTTTGTTGTTTTAATCTTTCATGATATTCATCAATTTGCGATTGAAATCGTTTTCCAATTAAATTTCCATCTTCCCATGTGCATTCACTATATTGAAGACCATCCCATTTACATAGATAATCATATGAATTTTCTAGTTCACGATTTTTCTCATGTGCTATAACACGTTCAACTTGTTGATAACCCGATAATGCTGTATCATTTAATTCTTGTTGACATTCAAATAATTCAATTTCATCCATATTAAGATTTTCTCGACGCCATGAACGTGTTTGTTCATGTTGTTTAAGGAAATTTTCTAATATACGCGAACTTTTAACATGTGCTTGTTGTAAACTTGAACGACTTTCCCATGTATTATGTAAATGTGACCAATTTTTCCATTTAATTAAAAATTGTTGTTCACCATCAGACTGTGTTTCATCGTCACCATTATAATTTGCATTTGGATCACCGAATTCATCGATATTATAAATAGTGGTCGATGGACCTGTAGCATCTTTTCGACCGAAACGTACCTTTAAAACTTTTTCAATTATTTCTGATGATGGTTCATCAGCAACTAATGTTACACCTTCACCAGATGATGATAAATTATCTGATGTTCGCACTTTTGTTTGACGCTTAGCTGTGTTTGATTCAAGATCTGTTACTAGATTGTTTTTTGTTGATTGTTGATATTCATTTGAATTCGATTCATCATCATTATTTGAATTTTGATCACCGTCAGAATCAGAATTTGACGAAAGATGACGTTGTTGCCTTTTCATTTTACGTCTTGCTGGATCATTGACATCATCGTCAGATTCTTCATGATAATTTATTGGATTTGATGCTGCTGTACGACGAATTTTTCGTTTATTTGTCGATGTCGATGAAGATACTCCGCTACCGCTTGATTGCTGACGGCGCGGCTTTTTTGTTGCAGAAGCAAAACTTGTCGATGATGATGTACGTTGTCGTTTACGATTTGATGCTGATGATGCATTATTTGTAGCACTTTTGGAACGTTTTGTCTTAAGAAAAAAGAAATTCAATTCTAGGTTATACTCTCTAGACGATAAATATATCACAAAATAGATTGTATGGTCACGTATATTATCGATGACATCTAGTTTTTGTTTGATACTATACAGTGATATTTATTTAATAGATAAAGATCAAGCTTTGACTATAATTGCTGTATCAACTGCATAGTCTCGAATATTCTCACTTGAAGAAAGAGATCATATTGATCAAGTAATTAAATGAACTAGCAATCTATGTTGCATAATATGATTTGAATAAAGAAACCAGAGATGTCCCTAGTCAATCTTGGGAAACGTTCATTTTCCCCAGTGAAATTAAACAATTGTCGTTTTATTATTTTTTCGCTCGTCAAACATGACAACTAAAGGCGGACTCGCGATACTTCTGAAAGTATTAATATAAATTAATCATTCTTAAGATATACTCCAGGTATTTATGAGAAACTTTTTGAATGATATTTTTCCATTCACGTCAATCACTATTAACTACTGAAGTTCTTTACTTTTTACTGATTGTGAACATATGTTGATAATCAATTTTTTGACATGACTAAAACATTTTATTATGTTAAATAATAGAATGAACCTTTTGACCGTATAAGTTCATTGGGCGGTCATCGAACACTCGAAAGATACAAACCTGTATAGTATGAGTTCTCAATTAAGATTTCAACTTTAATTTAATTTAATCTGGAACAATGATTACTTTTTTTGAATTCATATTGTATCCTTTAAATATCAAATGTGATCACTCATTGGAGTGTATTCTTTAAGAGAAATATAAGTATCATGCATTATTGTAATCATCGAATCAAATTGATATGATTCATGCACAATTTTGAAAATCATTCTTCAATAATATTTTTATCTAAAACTATATTTACTTGTGTTTTCGATTTTGTTTTTGCTTGACCAAAACCTCGTTTTGATTTTGTTTTTGCCCGTCGTTTATCATCAAAGTCATCATCATCATCATCATCATCATCATCGTCATCATCATCGTCATCATCATCATCATCATCATCATCATTATCATCGTCTTCATTATCATCATCATCATTATCATCTTCAACGTCGTCATTTTCATCATCATCTTCACTAGCTTCTGCATCATCATCACTATCACTTAATCGTTCTTGGTGTTGTTCAGATTCACCTGAGCTATTTGAATCATTTTCTATTTTAGTTACTGGCGTTTGTTTTTGACTATTACGTTGTCGCATTAAAAGTGGCTCATCTTCTTCGTCATCATCGAACCTAGCAGACGATGAAACAAAATGTGATAAACTAGGATTTTGTTCTGTTGGGTTGGATTCATCATCATCTATCAATTGATGAGGATCAGATGTTGTTCGATAATCGCTGTTCAAATGATGTTGAGTATTTAAATTGCTACACGAATAGAATTAAAATAAAGAAAATTCTTTTAAAAATTCTCTATAGATAAGTTATAACGTCGATCAAAGTTTACTCAGTTTCATTGGCAAGTTATTAGCTGTCAAAAAAACCGCAAAAAAGTCTTTTAAGTTAGCTGTTATAAAAATCGACCGAGAGAAAAACAACTGTTGTACTGGGAAATTTTCGATTAAAATTCATTCAAGAAGAATTCTATGCTAATTTTAATTTGTTCCTAATTTAATCTGATGAATTTCAATCCAAATATTCAAAAATATTCACTATATCTAATGAAAGAAATATTCTTCCCATATATGATATAGACTGAATTTTTGCCAAGGTCTTTTCGATGGTTGGTAAATATATGTCTCAAAATATTGCTAACCATTTTAATCCCTTTTATCGATTAAAAAATCAAAAGATTTACTTAAAAAACAGCAGCTGAACAATTTTTTTTGTGATAGAAAAGTACATAAAATAAATAAACATTGTAAACGACTTATTTATTTTTGTCTCGATCATATTGTACTTTATTGCTTATTAGTTAATAAACTCTAATTAAGTTACCTGAACATTGATTTTAATAAATAATAATAATATCATAAGGTGAGTGCACACGCTCAACACATGGGGCGTATATGTTGTTTTATTTTCGATTTTGTTCTTCTACGACTGCATCGCCATCTTGGCTCTTACATACTCAAGACCTCTTTTCTAACAAACGGACGATAGCGACGCCTTCGTCAGCTACTTTTCTCTTCACAAGATGAAATAAATATGTGAATAGCACAGTCGCGCAATGTCGCTTGCCGACGTCGATAGTTTATGAATAGAAAAAGACAGCTGACTGTGAAGTAGCGACGACTATTATACACTCCTGAAAGTTATGCAGTAGCAAAAATAAAGAATGCCTAGGATTCAAATAGAATTCCAATAGAAAATAATATTGAGATTTGAAAAAAATCTTTCATATTATTCCAAAATATGTTTCAGTCTGATGAAAAATCTCAACTATCCGAATGACTTACCATAAATTATCATTCCAAATATGATCTTCCATCAAATAAACTCATCCTGTAATAGAGAAATATAATATTTATACAATGTATTGAATAAAAAATGAATATTAAAATAAAATCATCATAATACATTACTTTCAATTGAATAGTTGACAGACTTTGTAAAGATCAAGCTCCCAATATTATTATGCTCATTCAAAAGAAATAAGAGATTATGATTCTATTTTACGACACCATTTAATGAAAATTTCTTTTATGAAGAAAAAAAAATGTGCGAGGAGAAAAAGGTAAAATCACCAACAAAAAACACACATATTTGTTTGATGAGAAAAAAATTTAAGAGATAATTTCAATCTACACGAAGAAAAACCGGCGATATATATGTGGAGGAAATAGGGCAAGTAGAAATCGTACATACACGAACAAAGGTAAATCGATTATGACAATAAATAAGGATAGGCAGATAAATATTGGAAGTATAATAAAGAGATCGAAGTAGCGCTAATGATTGGAAAGAAAGAAGAGAGAAAATTACAGAAACACACACACTCACAAAATATAGAAAAATAATTAAATATGATTGAAAGATTTTTTTTCTAGTTTTTTGTTTTCATGGGATACAAATTACAGTAGTGAAACATAGATTTAAGGGAATAAAGAAGTGTTCAGATCAAGAGAAAGAAAATGAGAAAGAAAGAAAAAAAAAAGAAAGAAATATATGTACTTGCAGAGATCAGGAGTGATAATGTCTATCAGATCAAATAGGTATAACGTCGAATGGAGTCTTTTTTAAACGTGTTTTTTGATTTGTGTTTTCATTTAAATCAGGTGACTAGACGATAATCGCAGAAAGGGGTGATAATCGATTGGGTGGAATGTTTATGAATCGACTACATTTGGCAGTAATGAGAATAATTTGACGAAGATAATTAAATGAGATAAAGCATTGCACATGACAATAGGCGAAGTGTTTGATATTTTTCTCTCTGTCTCTTGATTATTTTAATGTCCTTTTTTTTTATTTAAAGATTGCCAAATGGATCATTGACTTGCTGCTGATTTGGTTTAGGCTGTTGACCAAAAGGTGAAGCGCCAAATTGTGGCTGAGCAGCAAAAGGATTCGTACCAGCACCCATAGGTCGAGCTCCCATACCGCCGAAACCCATCGGCTAAAATTTAAAAAAAATGAAGTTAGTTTCAATAATTTATAAAATAAATGATACACCCTTCACTATTGAATATGTAAACCCGAGCAAAAATTCAGTAGATATTAAAAAGCACGAGCCTATAATATGTATATTTTTTGTTAAATTCCTCCAACAAAAGCTCGTTCAAACATAACACAAAAGAAACTAGCTGTTTCAAAGCATAAGAATATCACGCATAAAATTTTCCCAATTTATGATAACAGCTTTATAGCAATAGCATTTTATATGTGGCAGCTTTTAATAGTTAGAATAAATTATTTTACCGAAACTTCCCCGACTACATTAACATGCTTAGTAAAATTAGATTATTACCACAGGATAATAAGGACGCGTAACATTCATCATATAAATCTATATAAAAAATAAGGTAACAAACAAACAAACATACATCCAAACTTTAAAGATATTTAAGCTGCGTATAACCCTTTCTTTCAGAAAAGGGAATATCATCAAGTAGTTCACATCATATATCTTTCTCTCTATCTATCTATCTATATATATATATATATATATATACCCCTAAAGTGTTTCTTGTTTAATTTAGACACATCCACATTGATGAGCCATCATGGAGAACTGTTTAGTTAAAAAAGTTAGATTTACCTACAATCAATGTCACTTTGTCAAACCACATGATTTCAAGTATTGAATAGATTGAATAATCTTATTCAGTACTCTTCTCATAGGGAGATTAAAATCTTTTTATAACTCCTCTCTAGTTTCCATGGAAAATGTTGTCGCTTCAATGCAATTAAAAAATCAATAATAAGTTCATCAATACTTTTTTCGAAAAGATACCGCTGAATCAAACTAAAAGCTGTTGGTCAATATAAACAAAGTTGAAAGACATTTTTTTTCATAATAAGATAGTCATTTTGATTATGAACCATGCAAATGATGCCACTTTATTTATTTTTAATGAACTCGTAGGAAAAGGTATGCTTCTTCGTTTTCAAATTTTAATAAAAGGAAAAAAGTTTTATTATCGTTTTTATTGTTCATTATTCATTTCACAAGTCATAAAGATTATTCAGCATGAATATGATAATAATTGACAGCTGCAGTCGTCCGTAGAAAATATGAATAGATAGGCATATTTTTTATGCCTATCAGTTTCTAGTTTTATCGATTAAATAGAAAAAAACACAATTTCAACTCAAAAATATATTCAAGATAGTTCGATTTGTTTTGCAAGTAATTCAAAACTTTAAATGATTTTAGCATTAGAAATAGAAATGGAACTAGATAAATAGAAAATATGATATACATGACACGAATAGAGGATCATCTTAACTTTCAGTTCAATTTTAGAACTTTTAATTTATAAAACGATTCAATAAAAAGTACGAAATGATCTTTCTCAAAAGTCTTTTATAATGCCATAATATTGTTCAACAACATATTATAAAATGATTTCTTTTGTCTTATTTCATTTAATTTGCTTGACATTATTTTTCCTACGAGATTATTGTTGATATTGTACATTTTTCTTCATGTTATACATTAATAGTATTCACAACGCAAAAGACAAAGCTTCTCTTCAAGTAAATATTTACGAATAAATAGCGTAGTCTCTCTCGATCTGCATATGTGTCAGTGTGGGTGCGAGGCAAATTAGAAGAATTCAGTCTTAATAAGAAAGATAGTTTTTATTGGTTACTTACTGATTATGCTCGACTCAATTCTAAATTTTTTAAAGTCATTCCAACGGTATATTTCTTCATATTAAAACACATCGAAGATAAAGCAAGAAAAAAGCTGATATAAAAGCATTTTTTCGTAGTAATACTGCTGCTGCTGTTACAAACACATAAATGAAATCAAATGACTGACTCTCTTCGATGCAAAAAAAGGGGTACACGCAAAAAAAGAAGGAGAGTAGTGTATGTGCGCCCGCACACATAAAGACAGCAGAGAGAGACGTTACTACAACTAAAAATAATGTGTCTTTGCGCAAAAGACGTTAGTGCGAGTTGTGTTTTGTATTTGGTCGTTGCCTGCTTGCCTCTCGTCACATTGATATGTGCGCATTTCATTACTTGTAAAAGCACATGTGTGAGTAAGAGAGAAGAAAATGACTGATGAAAGAAAGATACACGAAGCGATTCGGCAATTGTCGACTGCTTTTTTTTTCGCTAACTAAAATGTTTGAAATAGGGGTAGTCGTTATTATTTACTACCTGAATGAGGTAAGAAAAAACGAAGAAAGTGTGGGCGAATGCAAATAAATCATTGCTAGCTAGTTTGTCGACAGCGATGAGAGAGGGAGAAAAAAGGCTTGAATGCACCTGTATCATTTCAGTACGAAGATAAGAAAAGAGCAAGAGAAAAAACAACACTCGACAAATGTATGTGGGGCAATGTGAAGAGCTCGAAAAATAATTTCGCGACAGCCAATAGCATTTTATTGGCAAAGAGAAAAGGAAGGAAGAACGTCGAAACTACGTACTGAAGGACCACTAGGGGCAGCAAATGGATTGGTTGATGCTGCAGTTGCTGTTGGTTGCCACATAGCAGTTGGTTGAACACCAATCTATAAATAACATAAATAATTTATATAAAAGCTTAAAGCTATGAAAATATTTAAATTTTTTTCCGAAGAAATCAAATAAAAACCACTTACACCCCCAAACGGTGCACTCATTGGTGGCTGATTTGGCCATGCTGTACTAGGACTAGCTATAGCGCCAGCTCCTATACCAATTTTTTGATTTTTACCATCATTCGGTGTCCATTGATGATCTTTTCTATAAAAGAAAAAGAAAAAGAAAACAAAGAATGAAAATATCATTTGTAAATATTGCATAATTTTTACCCTATTTTTGATCGATCTTTCATATCGAGATTTTCTAATAATTGATTAAGAGATGAATTAAGATCGCCTGTTTGAAATGGCTTATTTGTTGCTGGAATGCTTTGATTATTTGTAAACAATGGCATTGTTGATGAGTTTTTGTTTGATGACATCGAAGTGGGTTGAAGAATATCATCGAAAAAGCTCGCTAAAATAGTAAAGATAAATTATTTTCATTTTTCGAAATAAGAGATCGATTGACTATATAAAAGACTACATGCGATTGATATATCGCGAAACATGCTACAATAATGTACAATACAAACTACCTTCTGTTATATTTGATACTAGTGATGTTTCAATTGATGAAGTTTCTTCTTCTTTTTTTTGTTAGGGAAAAAAATTAATATTAGTAATGTTTAAATTTTTGTAATAGAAACAAAAAAGGATTTCATTTCACTTACTTCTAGGTAATGATGTGTCAAGCATATTTTGGAATGGTTGCTGTTGTTGTTGAGGAGGTTCGTGAAATGCAGGGAAAACATTTTGATTATTATTGAAAAATGAATTTGTTGATGTTTGTGCTGGTGGAGTAGTAAGCGAAAAAAGATCATCGGTTAATAATTGTTGTTGTTGTATAGTTGTGCTTGGTTTTGCATGTTGACCATTCGATGATGTTTGTTGTGAAAAGAAATCTGTATCCCCGAAATTATTGCTAGTTGTTGTTGTTGTTGATTGAGTAAATGCAGATGGTGACGACGAATCTTTACTCTAAAAAATAGTACAATTAAATAAGAAGAAAATGATTTATTGATATAGCCAACTTTATTAAATTGTGCAAGTGCTTTAGCTTCTTCTTCGAGAATTTTTTGTGGGTCATCACTATCATTGAATATTAAATCGCGTGAAAAACTCTTTAAATCTTGTTCAGTTTGTTGTCTAAATATAAATAAATAAATAGTTAATAGCGATAAATAATTTTCTTTTTCTCGGCATATATACCTTGATATTGATGTTTGTGATATTTTTTTACCTTCCATGTGTGCCAAATGATTTTCCAATGCTTCCAAAAGACTACTTGGAGCCTATGAATGAAAAATTTTTAAAACCTGTTGATAATCTGTTCTTATAAAAATTTTGTGAAATTTGATCAGAACTAATTTAGTTGGAATTTATGGCATGCAAATTTGAATATCCTTCTCCCTTTACTTACTGTATTATTTTCATCAATTCTCTACATGTACATATATATTTTTACTCGTAAAATGGAAGATTCGTATTTTTTAAGAATTTTCATATCAACTTACTCTTGATAGATCAGGAATTTCACTGCGTTCCATACCAGATGTCTAAAAATATAAACATTAGATTAACATTCATTATTTTATTTTATTTAAAAACTAGAATGTTTCATGTTAGTAATTCACACAGTAGAGCGTACAATGTTAAAGAAAAGCTATCATTTAATATGTGGTTTTTATCTCGTCATTTTATTTTCTATGCAGCGAAACAAACCTGATAGATATACACTGAGAGTTGCTAGAGACATAAAAGAAAAGTAGTAGAATTGTAAGATTCACGCATACACACACACACACACGCAAAGGTGATGAGACAAAAAGTTTTTCTCAAATCACTCTCGTTAAATTTGTTTTTTCTTAATTCACGATTACCTGTTTCCAAGGGCATCGCTCAACTAACCGACCAGTACGCTAATTTATCATATATATATATATATAGATATATGCATGCAAGGGTTTGTATTTTGATTAAATAAGTTTAAAATATTAAATACAAATAGACTTACCTCAGCTACTTTAAGAAAATTTGAAACTTTATCTGTTCGATCAAGAAATTTCTTGTAAATATCTAATGCTTCACGGCATTGTTTTTTATTCATATCAAAATATTTTTCTAGAAAATTAAATAGATATATCTTTTTTTTTATCTTAATTCATATTGGAAAAACAAATTTTCTTACCGAGTAAGTTAATCATTCCATCATTAAAGGCAGCATATAAACGTATGAGATCTTTGATTAACAGAAAAAAACAACTATTTATAACACCATTTGTAAGCTCATTCGGTGTAACCTATAATAATAGATACAAAAACAAATTCGATTTCGTTTTTAGGAATTAAATTTTTCTGGCGTGCTTCCTTCATTGCACATGCGTCACTACAAAAATTCTTAAATATAAGGCAAACCCTAACTTACAGAAATTTTTAATTTCTTATTCTAAAATTTCTTTTTCATCTCATATTTTGAAAATCACATCGAAATAAACAACTTACATCAAATTCAAGTAAAGCGTCAAGTTGTTTTTGAAGAATAGGTAATGCTTTCAATAGCTAACAAAAAAATAGATCAATATTTTTATTTCAACGTCAAGATAATAATGATCTTACCTTCTCAGTAGGCATTGTTCGAAGAACTCCATCGTCTTTTCTATAATACAAAAAACTTATAATTAAGTTTTATAAAATCAATAAATTAACAAACCCTCGTTTGATTTTACAAAAGTCATAGCCCATCAATTTATAAGATTCTCGTTTTTCATTTAAATAACTTGCATAGCGGCGAATATAATTTGACATATCACCGCCAGGCATTCCCATACGATCTAAATAAGACGCTGGCTGAAGTCTATGATTATGCGAAGCCATGTAAGCTTCAAAACGCTAGAATAAAAAAATCACGAAGAATTTCTTGATATTTTCCAATTAAAAACAAATTCACTTCATTTCCAAAGCACATTAAATGATGTATTGTAATTAATGCTTTAAACGAAACAACCCATGATGAATTTTGTGTACGCTCAATCAACAGATCAGCTAATTGAGGTATTGATACATTCATTTCATTTGTTGCTTGCAAAAGAACTTCAAAATAAAATTTAAAAAAAAACATTTATCATATTTTTTTGTTTTGGATTAAAAACTTACAATCAAGATGTTTTCGTTTGGGACCCATAATTTCTTCAGTTGTTGCTTTACAAACAACTTTTGCTAGAGCTTGTCCAGCAATTGTATTTTTTGCAGCCAAAAGTCGATCAACAAGGCTTTGCCCACCTGGTTGCATTTTTGTTTTTTTTGATTATCTAGTAGAACAAAAGAAATCGAAGTTAATATGAGATTTTTTTCTTGTCTTGATTATTTTGTTAGTGACATTATTTGTCAAGGTCATTTATACAATCAAATAAACATAGATGTATTTGTATTGAAAAAAGCAGCTGAAAATAAAAAAGAATTTTTCTCTTAAACAATAAAAAATTTGATAAATAAAATTTATGGAAGAAAATCATGCGCTCATTAGGATTTCGATATGTCGACACAAGTATGAATTTATTTTATTGGCTTATTTGTTCCAGTAGGGTAAAATATGGATATTAGAGAAAATTAATGATTAATATTTATAATGGATATTCGAATGGATAATGAATCTTTTCAAAAAATGAAATTAATTATTATTGAAGAGTTCAAAGACGAACATAAAACAATTAAATTCAAGTATAAAAGATATCCTTTTCTTTTCATATATATTCTTTTTTTTTATCATTTTTCATGACATTGACATGTTTTTTCTCCTTGACTTTTTTTTTAATGAATATTTTAAGTCACAAAATTTATCGATTACTAATAAAAAAGTTACGCCGAAAATTAAAGCGTCAACAACTAGCAAAAGAGCGTGATGAAAAAATTCGTTTAGAAGAACTTCAAAGACAAAATGATCCATTATATCAAGCATGGATTATTCAAAAAGAAAAGACTCGATTACAAAAAGAAATCGAAGAAGAAGAAGAAAAGTATGTCTGTAAATTAAGAAACAAATTGATTTGCAATTTTTAATACAGTAAAAAAGCTCGGAAATCACGAGAACAACGTGAACAAATGGAACTTCAACAGCAACAAAAATTAACAAAAGAACGGGTAGAAAAACAAAAGGTAAACTAATTTGAAAAATAAATCAAAGCTCATTAAAATTGAGAAAAAAACAGGGTGTTCATTATTCGTAATCGATTCTCTAGAGAATTTCAATTCTTTTGAAGGAATAATTTTTCTGTTAAAATATTTCGACAATTAGCTAGATAGAAATATTCTACGCATTTTTCAAGGCTAGCTGAAGTGTTAATAAGTTCGGACTAAAGTAAGTTGGATTATATTACGAATCTGATAGGTAAATATAATAATTGGTATATATTAATTTTGCCTTCGAAAGGACATACATTGTTTTACCGATAAAATAACTATAATGGCCAATAAATCACTTGCGCATGAATAATCAATTGCACATTGAAAAATAAATGACACATTAATACATAAAAAATTAAAACACGCAAAATGATTTAAGGTGTCGAAAACTTGGTACATTGTCGTACAAAAAGAAGATAAATTGATAAAAAGAAAGATCGTATTCACAAAATGTGAATGTAATGTTGTGGTGCGATCTAATTCTTTGACTGAAACTTACTCTATTTTAATCAATAGACTAACAGTTAATTTGCTTTTAAATGTGATAGTCTTCACATTTAAATCTCATATTCAATAAACTATGCGAGTCAATTTATAGTTACTTTGAGGAGCGCATTACACTGTACTGTTTGTCTAGAAAGACAATTTTACGAATAGAATCATTCATATGAAAATATTGATTATAAAGAACGAGTTAAGACTTCGAGGTCTTTTATCTGAAATTTTTCTTTTAAATATACATGTAATCAATACAACGTAGAATTCATACTATTTGTAGTGATTTTAAGAACAATAACGTGAAAATAATCTAAATAGAAAGACAACATAATGAAGTTCATATAAAATTTTATAAATCGATCTCAATTTCATAAGAGTCAATGCCGATAGGACTTAGTCAAAGAAAGAATTATCTGCTAGATTTCTCCCGGAAATTATCTTGTTTATTTCTAGTGTCAAATTTTCCCCTTTAATAATCTACAGAAAAAGACTTTCAATACGAAACAATAAATTTTTTTTTCTTCAGGAATTATTATTACCAGCAAAAACGAATAGCCCATCACATAATCCATTTGCCACAGTTCAAGACAGGATCACTGCAAGTATTGAACGTCCTGTTTGTTCGTTTTATTCCAAAACCGGTGTTTGTCGATATGATGAACGGTAGGTTTTCTTGTTTAGAATTAGCTTCTTTTCAATTAGGTTTTCTTTCGTTTTATAGTTGTCATCGTACTCATAATAGACCAGACATAACGAATACTCTATTAGCTGTAAATATGTATTCAAATTTTGAAATGCAATATGGTTTAGATAATGAATATGATTTTGGTAGATAATAATAATTTAATCGATAAAACAGTTATAAAAAGAAAATCTTTTTTTTCTTTAAGATATTGGTTTAGAGTTTGAAGAATCAGAACGTTATGAAAATTTTAAAGATTTTTTTTACGATGTTTTACCAGAATTTGAACGATTTGGTCGTGTTATTATGTTCAAAGTATGCTACAATTCAGGAATACATTTACGTGGAAATGTTTATGTGCAATATAAGACGTATATTATTTTATTACCGATGTTCTTCTAAATTGGAAAGATTGATTATTTTATAGAGATTATGAAGCTATGCAAGCATATAAAGCATTAAATACAAGATATTATGCTGGCCGAATGGTTCAATGTCAATTTGTAAATATTCCTAGTTGGACAGCGGCTATTTGCGGTACACATTAAATTTTCTTTTTATTTAAATTTATAATCTGCTTTTAAGGTTTATCTGAATTTGGCAAATGTCCAAAAGGCCGTCGTTGCCATTATTTACATGTGTTTCGGAATCCACCAGTAAAGTCTATTGAAAAAGAAAAAAAATCTAGTCGAAAGCATAAACGTTCAAAATCTCGAGATCGTTCACATAGAAAAAAGAAAAAGAAATCTCATCATTGAAAACTGTATTTTGTTTTTGCATAGTTTTTAGATATATTTAAACACATTTGATCTTTTCACAACTATGAGTGAAGATAATAATACAACGACAAATAATAATAATAATAATAGTATAGAACAATGTTCAATATTTACTGAACAAGACAAAGAATTAGCTGTTAAAGCTAAGCAAGAATATGAAGGAGGACAATACGATGGTTTGTTGAAGCAATTCTCTTTGTTTTTGTTACAAAAAATATATATGAATTGTCTTTTGTTGATTTAGTTTGTTTGAAGACATTGCAAAAAATCCTTGAATCATGTCCAGATGATCCGAAAGTTCTGTTTAATGTTGCACTAGCAGAATATGCGATGTCAAGTTTTCAAAAAACAGATGCGTTCAAAGTACAACTTAATAAAATAGCTGAAAAGGTAATTCTTCTTTACAAATTTGAAATCAATAAGAAATAGGTGTTAATTTTTTTTCCAATTTAAATTACTCTTGAAAAATGAATAATAAAAAGACCTTGAAAAATGTTGATACGAAGTGACAGTTTTATGGTAGCCCTGAAGAGTTTTTGAGAGCCCTTTAAAAAATTGTAGCTAAAGGGAATCATGATAGACTGGTTTAAGAGATTAAAGCTTTTAATTTTTCATGAGACAGAATTTATGCGTAATCTAATAAGAAGTAGACAGACAAAGAATGATCTGTCCATCTTATGATTCATAAGTACATTAATCATCTTAAAAGATTGTTTAGAATCTTCTATAACATATTTTATTATTGATATAAAATAGAAAGAGTTTTAATAGAATATCTATTTGCTTAAGTATTGTTTTTGATTTAGAATGCTCTTTGTTTTTTTTGGATCTTTTTCTAATCTATTTTCAGAACGGTAAAAGTCAGCTAGGCTTTCATAGTAATCAGCTCATGTCAACATTTCATTTTGTCAAGATGATCTATTGAACTCAATTATCCTCTGCTATATTGAGTATTGAGCTAAACATACGAATTGTTTATGCGAGTGCTTATTCTGATACTGTTATATGGATATATATTAGGAAATGCAGCTATTTTCATCTTTTTCCAGACTATGATTTTATATCTTGAATAAATTCATTTAAGAAAAAACTATTTTTCATGTTACTTAACGTGGATGAACTCTAATTTTTCATTATAATATGTAACTTCGAAATTTTAGATCGGAAAATAACTTTGCATTTCTTTTGTAAAACCGTCGTTTTTGTTACTCTTATATTATCCAAGAAATGATACAGAGAAAGTTTGAATCTTTGAATTTATCCTTGTTTGAAGTCTCTTCACAATATTCAGAAAGTAACAGGAAAAAATCGCTCAATCCGGTACAGCGATTTCGTTTAGTAGAAAATTAACTCATAAATCATATTCATCAAAACAAAATTCAGGATAGATTGTCCACAATAGTACTAGTGACTGACTAGATGTTATTGGGGCTGAAATTTTGGTACGTTATAATTCTATTCGAAACTTATTTCAATTCAATGAAGCTTTTCATGAATCAATAATAGCGAAACAAATTCACATGCGTTATAGAACGAAACGAAACTGATTGCTCATCTAATAACTTTTTATTCTATTTAGCTACATTGCTCGTTAGACGGTGTTACAACATTAGAAGAACCAGATCAATGTACAGTATTTTATAATATGGCTGTCCTTCTATATCATACGCGTCAATATCGATCAGCATTATTAGTTGTGGAAAAGCTTTTCCGATTCATCGGACAAATAGGTAAATATTGTTATTTAAGTAAAATCAAAAAAAAGAAACTTGTAATTTTCTCAATAAAAGATGAAACACTCTCATGGAAAATTTGCCTTCTTATGTGTGAACTTGATTTATGTACATTTCAGGTAAAGAATTTTGTTCATTTTTATAGTTCAAATTAACTTTATATTGATATCTATTTTTCAGCCGGAAAATGCACTAGCAACAGTGATACATCTTGAAAAATTAATCAGTGAAAGCGTGATTTCACCATCAAACGGTCTATCACACAGCCCAAATATGCTTATTGAAAATCTCGAAGTTCTAAAATCAAAAATCAGTTTGGTTAGTCTTTCTTTTACTTTTTTTGACAGCACAATTAAATTTTGATCTTTTTTGTTTAGTATAAAATTCGTTGTTTACTTATGCTGAAATCATTGCGCATTTGTAAAAAAGAATTAAGACAACTTCAGAATACTAATATAGTAAGATTGAAATCGATCTTTATTTTTAATAATATTATATTTTTCTCCGCTTTTAGTCATCAACAAGTTTAACGTATGCTCGTGCGAATTTCGAATATTTCAAAGAAAATCATATCAGAGCACTTAAAATTCTAACGAATAATCAACAAACAAATTCGTCGTTGATATCATTGCAAACGAATTCTTCTCATTGTTTTTACAATAATCTTTCATGTATACATTTTCATTTACACAAATCAGCATTCGCATTATTCTATATGCGTCGTGCATTAGCAGAAAATAATCGTCTACTTATTGAACAATTAAATAGCAATGATAAACAATTAATTGTTCATAATATAAATCGAAAATATGAAATTTTATATAATCTTGGTATACAACTATTATTTAAACATCAACCGTTGCCAGCATTTGAATGTTTAATCGATGTTATTAATATTTATTCAAATAATGTTCGTCTATGGTTACGTTTAGCTGAATGTTGTATTATGATACATCGTTCATCGAATGACGATATATTTAAATTAGAAGAAAAATTAAAATGTGTTCTACAATCTATTGGTACTGGTTTTCATCATAAATTAATTTTAGGAAATTGTAACACATCAACATCATCAAAAAAATCAACAGTAACAAATGGAAATGAAAATTGTTCAATGGAATTTGCTTTATTTTGTTTAAAAAATGCATTAGCATCATTGCCACCGATAACTGAAGATGATTTACAGTACGTCATATCATACTTTCATTGAATTTCCATGTTTTTCAAAAGACATTTTCTACAATAAACCTTTTTAGCATCGATACAATCTATGATGAGAGGCTCCTATAACAGATAAAAGTTCAGAAAGTCATGTTTCTAGAGATCCTATAAAGTTCTAAACAGAAGATTTCATATTACTATCTTCTGAAAATTTTTTAAGAGACATGAATTTTGCACTTTCCATTCTTTCACAAGCGCATTTGTGACTAATAGAATATTGGTACTGCATTATGTCACTAATTAAAAGCAAACAACACTTTTTATTCAACATGTAGACATACTCGGGAAAACTTTTGAATAGAGATTATTTAGCTTCGACTTCATGGGGTATTTGAATTTGCGGCAAATTCAAAATGCTTATACCGCTATACTGTTATAGCGGTAGCTAGATGTCATGTATCCCTTACTGAGACATGGGAGAAGGTGTCCCCACCGCCACACTAGGTACTCCTCCGCCTACACCCACACTAGTTACCCCATCGTATGGTATAGTAGTATAGCGGTATACTACTTATACCGCTATACCACTACAGTTTTTATTTTGTCACAAATAGAGGTGATTTTAATGAATTCGATTTTGTCGCAAATTCATATTCCCCATCATATGTTTGCTTCAGGAGTTTTCAAGATAATTCACATACCCTTTTCATCTGAAGATTTTCACAATTAAAAAAATAAAATGAAAGCCGATGTTACACATACTAATTCTTGACTGATAATTGTTGTGAAAAAAACTTTCCATCGTAAATTTTTTTATGTGTAAGACATTAAGACTAGTTGTGCAGAAATTCATCATTCCGGTATACCCATTTTTGTTTTCTTTAATTGAAACATGGTATTAACGAATAATTTTATCCATGTAGACACTATTACAACTCTTTGCACTGCTTTAATAATTCTTTCTAGGAAAGATGGAACAAAACTTTATCCAGCACCACCAGGAAATCCAATACGAATAGGAGACATGATTGCATTAAAATGTTCAATATTAGCTGCTGCTGCTTATGTGTCCTTGTGTTTAAATGATTTTGTTTCGGCTAAAAATTATGCAACATATTTATTAGAAGAACCTCGGGCATCATCTGGACATAAGTTAGTGATCATAAATTTTATTTCAATTATTCACTTTTCTTTGTTTAAAGATATCTTGCTCGATTATATCTATCTGAAAGTTTATTAGCAATGAATAAAATTGATCTAGCTATTAGTCAACTTGATGCTGAATCAATAAAAACTGAAAATGATCTGTCATTTAAAATGTCTATTACAACAGTAGATAAAGGTAAAGAAAAAAGAATATCAAATCTAATACATACTGATCATTTACTTTGCTTTATAGAAGAAAAATCTGATACACCAGAAGCCACACCAACAGTTCCAAAAGGTAAAAGAAAACAAAAAATAAACTTTTTAATCTTTCTTCGAGGCTTAAGAAATAAATGCAAGATCAATTTTGTTAACGAATTGTTTTCAAATGACAGAAAGATTAAGGTCAGAATATTGCTGAGTTAAATAATAAAATTTTTACAATGTTAATATAGACACTGAAAAGTGAGTAGAATAGGTCGGATACAAAATGGTTGAACCCCCAGTTACGATTTCAGGATCTAATTCACAGATTCTAGCAAAAATAAGTCAATAGCAAAGAATATTTTCACGCACTTATACGTACATTCGGTACGATATTAAGCCACATTCTCAACTAAAAAATATATGTCATTTTTGTAGTGTCGTGTTTCTATACTTCAGTACGCGCCGATACAGGGGTGTACTACTGACATTGAATAAAGGATCCTCCTAAACTGAAACTGTGCTTTTCTAATCAACAGGTTCCATATCGGATTAAAAACTGTTATCGAAAATTTGCAGCATTTAATTGTATATTGAAGTTTTAGAAGAATGATCTTAAAATATCCCTAGAAACTGGTGAAAATCTTGAATATTTTTATTGTTTAATCGAAAATACATTTGATAAAGCGTCTGATTTTTTTCGTCGCAAGTTTTTTATTGAAAACAATTTCAACTTGTTCGTATTTTTTCTCTAGTTGATTTGGTCAGTTGGTTACCACGTGATGCACGTGTTGGGCAAGCCATTGTATATTATAATATTGCTGCCATTTATGCTATTACAAATGATGTTGAAAAAGCTTTCAAACATTTCAATTTGGTTAGCGAGATAGCTATTTTCTAATTCTCAACAGTTAATATTATTCTATTTATTTAGTTTGTCAATCTCTTTGGAAAAACACAACCAGCACATTCATTTCAATTGAAATTCTATTTAGACTTACTTGATGGTAAACAATAATATATATTTACTTGATAGTAAAACGTGGGTGTTTTTTATTATAGGTAATCGTCATCGTCTACAAATTTTATTAAAAGAAAATTTCGGTCATTTAACATCAAATAAATCTTTTGTTGCATTTCCAACTATTACACATACATTATCAAACAATAATTCATAAATTCGATTATTTATCGATTAAATGCAAAAAAAAGACAACATTTTTTTCTTCTTTTCTTTCTCTTTCGTTCGTTATGTTTATTGTTGTTGTGCTCATTTTTTAAGGTTATCTTTTTGTTATTGCATATAGACGACTTGATTTCTCTTTATGATTTTTTTTCTAAATAGAAAACAAATCGATTATCAGTACATAAATAATACATATTCTGTAATACGAATAACAAATCATATGATAGATTCTACATTTAAACAATATCAACCAGTAACACTGGTCTAGAAAGATATTCGTTGTAATGAACTTATTAATAATAACCAAATTTGTTTCGAAAAATAATCGATCGACTATATAAAATGATAGAGTAAGTTTTGTGATCTAATATGTATGTGTTCACGATAGTATAGAACTATGTAACAAGAAAAACTTCAATCGAAAAAAGAAAGAAAGAGATAGTATACAAGACATACTATACTATTGTTATATAATACTTCTATGTTCTTAAATGTATACTTATCTTTTTTATTTTTATCTACTGATTATTTTCAATTATACATATTAGTAATGAGTTACTTACAAAATCTCCGATGATAAAAATGAATAAAGAATTTCAAGAATTTTTTTTCTTTTGTCAAATTAATACATAATATAAAGATGCATATTTATTTTTGGATTCACATCATTGAGTACATGCGTATACATTTTTTCATAATTCAGAATATGAAGCCTATAAATGAACGGCAAGATAAAAATCTTCTTTCTTATTTTTTTTTCTTCTTCTTCTTTTGGAAACAGAAAACCAGCGACCATGATTACATGCGACAGAGAAAGAAAAAGAAATTAATGTAAAGAGACCAAATAGTAATAAAAAGATCGAATACAATGGATATATGCATATGTAGACGTTTAGTTATTTTGTAAATACGTATAAGAACACAAGCGAACAAAGAGATTTACAGCGATACAAGACGAGAGAGAGAGAGAGAGAGAGAGAGAGAGATTGAACAATGAATGAAAAAAAATGAAATCAAATGACGCATTTAAATAGATAAATTAAATGTTATGCTTGAGTGTATACGAATCATCTGTTGGTTATTATTTTCTTCTTAAACGATCTAGCTTATATCACTGTGACAAGAAAAAGGACCATGAACAAAATGAAGAACATTAATATATATTATATACAAAAAGAAAGAAATTACGGCCAATATGTGTTTTATTTGATATTTGTATGTCTCTTCTTTTTTTGACGAATCGATTTTGTTCGTGAAGATCGTCTGGTGGTAGTATTTGTTTTTTAAATAAGGAACAAAAGAGCAGGCAAGAAAAAAAAAGAAGCAAAAAAAAACAAATAAATAGATATCTTTACTTAGTACCCGCACAACATCCTCCATCGCTTCCCGCCGCTCTTGAATTTCCAGGTCGATCGACTGTTATCGATGGACCGTTATTACCCGTTCGTCCACTTGATGAATCTTGGTTTTTTGGCAGTTTCTTTGCTATAGCCATAAATATATCATTAACATTCATAGCTGTTTTAGCTGACGTTTCCATAAATATCAAACCATTTTCATCAGCATAAGTCTGAGCATCGACAACTTCAATTTGACGTTTAGCTGCTAAATCTGCTTTATTACCAGCTAAAGCAATAACAATATTTGGAGCTGCTTGACGTTGTAATTCTTTAACCCATACTTTAGCTCGACTGAATGTATCCGCATTAGTTATATCATAAACGACAATAGCTGCTTGAGCACCTCTATAATACATTGGTGCTAATGAATGATATCTAAACAAGATAATATAATAAGAAAGTTAAAATCAAATAAAAAAAACATTTATTGTAACAAACAGAAAACCTACCTTTCTTGTCCAGCAGTATCCCATAATTCAAGTTTAACTGTTGTATCATCGACAGATACAGTTTGTGTAAGAAAAGCTGCACCAATAGTCGATTCTTGATATTCATGAAATTGTCCCCGAACAAATCGAAGTACTAATGATGATTTACCAACTGCTGATTCACCCAATAGAACCATTTTGAATTGACATGTTCGTGCTGATTGACCATTAACTGGTGACCGATTCGCATTTGAATTATTACTTGTTTGGCGATTATTGCTAGTCATTTCTAACTAAATAAAATTCTATGTGGGCTAAATTTTTCGAAAAATACAAAGTCAAGGTTTTAGTAATGATGAATCTGAAAAAGAAAACAAAAATCAGATAGAAATTATGTCATGACTTATCAATCACACGCTGCTCAGCGAGAAAAGAAAAGGAAATCATACGATATATGAAGGCGACAAGACAGCCATGACAAGCCAATGCTCATGTGCATCTATCACGATGGGAATCTTTTTGAAAACTATTTAGCGACATCTATTCATTTTTTAGAAAATATGTTTTAATAAAGAATAACAGCAAATAAATCATATTTACTTTAATATATTTTTAATCCAATAACTTTAAAAAAGCATGAAATTAATTTAAGATTGGATAAAAACTATTTAAACAAATTTCGACTTGACTCATTCGTACTCATAAAATTTAAAAGAACGAGCGAAAAAGTGACATGAGCCAGCTGATCTATGAGTACGTCCATTACGACATTTAAACATACCTGCATGCATGTCTTCGTTCTTTGATCATTATTTGACTATTTATTCCAGACAGTAGCATATTGTTTTTTTTCGATGGGTAATTGTTGGCGTATTCCTGAAGATTACTCCAGTCTTGTTGATCTTCCCACTTCTCCGATTACTCCGTCATCGACAGATTCTTTGTCAAATTCTAATTCAAGTTTTATTCATCCAGTCTCAGCAATGTCTGATACACGCATACCAAAAGTAAGAAATGATTGTTTTTATTCTTCGTTTATGACGTTTTATCTAAATTGCATTTCCATCAATTTCAGTTAGTTATAGCAAATCGTTCATCAACTGATCTAAATGCTATCAAAGCTGCACAATGTCGAAATCTTGTTGAGCATTTACCATTAACTAATTATGACGAAAAAATAAATAAACAAACAGAGTAAGTGTATCAGTTGAAAGACGAAAACTATGCTCATTGAGACAAATATGTAATTTTTTGTTTCTAGATGTGATATTTGTTTAGTGGATTTTATTGCTAACGAACATGTACGGCAATTACCATGTGATGGCGCACACGTATTTCATCCTCCATGCATAGATACTTGGCTAGAAAAAAGTCTCACATGTCCACATTGTTCAATAAATGTCGATGCAGCTTTACTACTCAAGTTCATTCCAAAGTCAAACAAGAATGATGATGAAGATGGATAGCTTCTTTTTTTTAAATTGAATTTTAGCATAGTTTAAGTAAAGTAAATATGCAATACATTTTTCTGCGAGGTAAAACTCCTTCACATTTATATTGTTGTTGTTGTTATTATTGAGTTCCTTTCTGTCTTTTATGTATATGTATATCGAATGAGAGAGAGAGAGAGAAAAAAAACAGAAAAAAGACAAAATTCCATTGCATATTGACTGTTGTGATAGAATTATGATTGACATTTTTCTTTGTATTTTATGTTTTACATCTGTCAGCTTGCTTTTAAATAATAAATGTAGAGAATGTCCTCTTGAATGGACGAAATCAAAAGCACACTCATATTTGTGACTATTGAAAAGTCTATGAAGAAGACATAGAATGAAATTCTTCGTCTACATTTGATTTATAACTCGCAAGAATGTTTTAGTTATGAGTAATTCGTCTAGTATGACATTTTTCGAAATTCTTTTCAATTTACCTTGTCTCGATATTTCTATTGATATAGAAGATTATATTTTTTCCGTCTATACGAGAAAAAAGTGATTACGTTAAAATGGCGAGCAATGCAAATGAGTAATTTACGTCTATCGTGTTGCTTTGCATAATCCAGCCATGTCATGATCAAGATCAAAAAAAAACGAACTGCTTTGAGGATTGCTTTAAGGTAAGTTTAGATAGGATATTGTCAAATTTTGTATTATATAACAAATGTCAAATACTGATAGAAAATATTGAAATAGTTATTGAATATCAGCAAAGATTTCGATTGGTTTATTAATTGAATTATTATTGAAGGTTATAATCCATACCGATTTAACTGCGAAAGAACTATTTCTCAATATCAGATGTTATTTTTCTTCAGACCACTTCTATTCAATCCGTCATGATCAACCCTTGAGAAAAGTCTATTATGGTTTTTTAGCGTTTGTTTATTGAAATTTGATTTTTGTTATGAAACCATAAATTCTCTCAGAGCTTGAATGATCATTTTACTTACATAAGCAAGCTTTATGAGTCAAAAGAATAATACTTATACAAAATCAAACTTTAGAAAAGATACGATAAATGTAAGGCCTATCTATAACCGAAACTCGATTATCCATGTTCTTAACAATTCTATGTTTAATGGACAAAAGCAAATCAAAAGACACGCTTCTTACTATTTATTATGACTGATCGAAATGCAATAATCTCAAGCGAAATGAAACGATTACACAGTTCAGAACATTGTCTCGTTCGTATAATATTCTCAAATAATCTCTAACAATTGAGTTGTAATTTTAGTCAAAATATAGTCCGCATATCATAATTAATTATCTGTCTATATCATATATTTATTCTGCTAGAGTAAAAACTCCTCCGAGTCAGTGTTTTGATTTCGTTTCCCTGTCAAAAAACATATGTTCACGGTTAAAAGAATAAATTGAAACGGATTTTCATTATTATACTTCGTTCTATCTATGATCAATTTAAAATATTACTGTATGTGACTTTGTCAACCAACTGTCTTAAATATATTGTCACATTTTAAATTAAAATATTATTTTCAATGATAATATGTGTTGACTCTGGTGCATTATATACTGTTTTATAACAAATACTAATTGTTTTTCTTCGATTGTTATATGATTTATGTTATTAATAATAAGAATTACCAACATACGTCAGACTTCGAATAGTAATTGTCAATACCATTTAATCAATAATAATCTCCAGAGGAAAAGACTGCAAGATGAATTTCTAGCAAAAACAAAAACAAAAACAAAAGCAATATCAGTTCGCGTTATTGCGATTAATTAATTTTCTGTTATATTGGAAAATAGTTACTTTTTCTATTGCGTTTGAATACAGAATTGGCTATGTATCGACCATCAAATTACTAATGTTTTTGTTTCAAATTCAGTTCCAATACTTCTTAATTCAATTTTTATTTGTTATTTTTCAACATGTTTGCTTAGTAATACTCAGCTATGTTAACATTTACAGATAGAATAACTGCAGTTTTGAATGAAATTTCGAGACAATCAAACATTGAAAGAATAACAATCGATTGATATGAGTTTCATATTCATGAAAAAAACAATCAAGTAGAATATCAGAAACCTCACTGTCAATACTATGTGTTTAGTCAATCAATCAATTCACGACGAGTTTATGTTGATTTTTAAATGTACATATATACGTAGAACATTCATTTGGATCAGTCGTTTTCTTTTCTAGAGATATTCAATCTAATCTATGCTTTATTCATTTTTTTACTAAGTATGTTCATTCAATATTTATCAAATGATTCTTGATGTTTTTCTCTATTTGCTGAGTGTTGTATTTCTGTCTATCTATCTATCTCAAGTATTATTGACAATTTTTTTCAATCATGCGATCAAATTTTTTTTGAACTGTACAAAATCGGTAAATTTTTTTCTTTTTTATTGAACAATAGAACTTAATGTTGCAACAAGTAATTAAATACAACAAAATTTTCTCAGGGTCTTACACCCTTTAGAATCAGCAAAAAAGCTTTCTACAAAACAAAACAAAAATGAATTAATACCATAGATTTTTCATTGTTTTCTCAAGCAATTGCCAATGTTTATTTAATCGTGCCATATTTTTTTCTAAAACGCTCTAGGCATTTCGAAAACATGTTTACCTATATATTTTATAAAGATATGATAAAACAAAGTTTCAGTATATAAAAATTTATTTGACTAGTTTTGAAAAAATCGTATTTTCCTTTATTGTAACATCAGCATAGTAACAAATGTTAGCGTTGTTTCGCAAACTTATTGATATATTTGAATTTAATAAGCATCGTTTTATCGAGCATCCGTCAATATACAAATATTCATCAATTTTTATTGCCCAGTGAAGTATTTGATTTTTCCAGCTAATTAACATCATGACAAACCATTATCATCTTTTCATTGAATTTGTTTTTTGTTTAGCGTGAAATAGCAGGATTTTTCTGATATGTACAATCATAGAAATAAATGCAAAGCAACGTTAATGGATTCGCCAGAAATAATAAAGAGAAGAGACAAAAATATTGCCCAGTTGTGTTTATTTACAAGGTGCTAAATGAGTAATCAAGTTTACAAAAACAAACTCAACTTAGAAACAGAAAAATATTCATGAAAATGAAACTAATCGACTTTCGTTAATACTATCGTTAATAAGAATAACCAAAAACAAGATCTATCCCTCTTTGCGCAAACTAACCGTAATTATAGAGTTTCTCTATCGACAAGCAGCAACACTGGATAACATCAACACTTACTGGAGCTATAAATTCTTTTGAAATTTGATTTATTACAAAACGAAGCTCCTATTGAATGTTCATTCATCAAGCTATGAAAGTATTACATAACTTTGTAAAGATTTCTTTGATAGTAATATCGTTTACAACAGCTCGAATAATTCGAAAAAAATCACACTTCATGTTAACAATTTTCTTTTTATCATAATCATCCAATATTTAAATAAAGTCCTTCAGAAAAGAAAAATAGCCCCTTACAACTTTCATTTTTATTACCATGATATAATCGTAGAGAAGGAAAAAACACAATTATCTAACTGAAAATTTTCCTTTTGAACTTAGATCAATTCATATAGCTAACGAAAACACATTTAAGAAAAATATCTTCTGGCTATTTTAACGTTGAATATAAATATGAGCCGGCTCTTTTTTTTTGCTTTTGTTTCATTATAATTCCATATGAAAAGAAATAAAAAGTTTTTCAATTATAACCTAGATGTCTATCAGCAAATCTAGTTGTCTGCATTTATTTGAAAGTACATATGTATGCATCGTATGTAATATAAATACCAAGAAGAACAATGGCCATTATAAGAAGGATAATAAACAAACGAAGAAAAGAAATAGAGGATTGTAAGAGAACACAGGATTGACAGACATTTAAATCAAACTAAATACTTTTGTTTTCAAGGTTTTGTTTTTTGTCTGTCAATTATCATAAACATTATAGTTCAATAGAGAAGGGATTATGCATTAATCTATGTGTGCAGTAGTCAAATGCAATTTTGAACAGAAGAAGAAAGATAAGAATAAGCAAAAAGAAAGGAAAGAATGAAGCACATGAGACATTTGTCAAACAAACGAAAAAAAAGACGAACGAACATGACATGTACATGTATACACATACACACAGGAAAGGAGTACACACAGATGAATGTAAAGATGTCATGAATACATACATAGAATCTGACACACCGAGAAAAGGGGGATAGATCTCACTGTATCACCAATTAAAATGTTTATGTTTACATGTAAATATTCGAAGAACAGTTTTTTTTAATATTAAGGCCCTTCGTTCCATCACCACCGGAAAAAGAAAAGAAAAACGATAAGAATAAGATCTTATTTTGACATCGAAAAACATTCTGTTGTTTGCGACGAAGTTAGCACCGACGACGATGATGGAATTTGCAGAGTTTCATCTCCGAAATTCTCATCAGCACTTGTATTATCTGTTGAATCAAAATAAACTGAACTTGGTTCTTTGAAAAGAAAAAATAGACAAGTATTTTTTTAGGAAAAATTAATCATATTGTCTCTTACTTCGTCTTAATGGTGAACTAGTACAATCATACGAAAGTGATGTACGTATTTCAAGATCTGATTCATTGTAGTCTGTTTGTTTATTAACATTAGTTAGTCGTCTTCGTACTTTATGTTTATTATTATTAGTTAAACGAGATAATGATGAGGATGAATGTTGTTGATGTTGTTTTCTAAGGCGATTTTTTGGTGATTGAACTAATGGTGAAGAATGAACATCATGCCAATCCCAATCTAGTGCATCAATTGTATTAAGCACTGGTTGATTGTAATATTTTGATATTGATGGTGAAATTGACGTTTGTGATTGAGAATATTTCTTTGATAATGTATTTAAATCAGTTGCAATATGTTCTAGATCAGAATAGAACCGACTCGTTTGTTCTAAGGCACGCTCTAAGCCTTTTTCTGTTGACATATAAGACATCACATGTGATTCTGTTACTGTTTCTAAAAGAAAAATCAACATGACATTAATTTCAAATAAATAGACCAATCCCTCTGAAATAAACGTAGCTCAGCATTTCTATTTATATAGTATGAGTATGAGTATGACGTTTCACTCAGAATTTTTCAATCATCTTTCCCGAAGATAAATACTACTGCTGTGACTAATTACAGAGAGATTGTTCTATTCTAAGTACTCTAATAGGCATGTCTTCTCAAAAAGAAACTGTAATACGTATATATATATATATATATACATAGCCTCTAATCATATGTCAAAAACATTTATTAATGAAGAGATATTGCTATGACGTTTCTCATGGCTGGTCAAAAAGTTAAGATTTTCAACTCTGTGTTTCATGAAAAAAAAGCAAATATTTATTTACGTGTATCTTGAAGTATTGCACCACGACTAAGTGCAGTATCTGAATCGTATTTTCTTGGTTCAGAATAAAGTAATGTATTAGTTCCATTGGTTGAGTAACTAATTAAGGATTCATTATCATCATAATCATGACCCATAGTTAGATTTGTGGTCGTCGTAGTATCATTTAAACTTTGTTGATTGCGAGATGATGATTTTATTGTTGAAATCTCATGGCAATCAACACCAGAATCACCAGTTAAAGAATTGGAATGATAAGAATCTTGTAGTAGAGCACCTGTACCTATTGATGAAGATATTTCTGACCATGTCATTTCATCAGATAAATGACTTGTTGTATTATTTTTATTTGAAGTGTAACTATGATGTTTATCAATAGGTAAACCGAGTAATGGTTCACGATCTGAATCATTTGCATATTGATGATAATGGCATTTATTATTAGGAGTAATATTAGCTGTTATCGTAGTTGTATCTAGACGGTCTGGTGATGCTAGTTTCAATGTTGTTGATGAACGTGGTCGTTTAGTATACGTTACAATTATTTCATTTCCATTGGAAGATAACGATGAATGTTCTTGACCCATTTGTGATGCTTTTGCCTAATCGAAACGAAGAAAAAGAACCTATTAGTTGATCTTTCATCATAAGATATAGACACGTTCTTTTTTAGCTTCATTAGAAGCGGTAAATAATCAATTGTAACAATACTTACATCACGTAAATTGTTTGACAAAGACGATAGGGTATTATTTGAGATTGATGTTGTTGATGATGTCGTTGAAGGAGCAAGAAAGTTTGAAATAAAACGATACAGAATACAACAACCAACACCGATGCCAAACCCAATTAAACAACATATTGTTTCATTTCGACGCACTAGAAAAATGAAACGATTGTTAAATGCAAATTTCCTTAATAAATATGAACAATCATAACCGATTCTATGATTATTCATATTGCATAATTCTCATATAAATAATAACTTTTGTTTCAATACATCTGTCTCTCTTTTCTTTTTTCGCATTTATACATATATTGAAGATGACAAGAGTCCGAATGATAAATGATCATAACTGTCCATTCAACATATCAACGACAAAAAGAAAAATCAATAGGACTACACAGGCATCTTTATGATTGATCTATTAAAATATTGCAGACTATCCAATTAACTTTCCCATAATTAACCATTTCATAGTTGTAGGATATTTTTTCTTTTTCTTATTGAAAATTCATCTAGATCATTGTTCTTTTTAATTACATACACTTGAACGAATTCATTTCATTTCATTCCATAAATATACAGAAAAAAATCAATTCACGACATATGTTACATTCATCTTTTTATAATTTTAACCAACTGACGCAAAGACTCATAAAAATTACCTTTGTTCCAAATGTTTCGTGGAAGTATGATGACTAAAAATTTCGCTGGTTTTATATAATAATTCAATAAAAAACGTATAGGACGAAGAATAAATATATTAGGTATAATAACATAGAGTGGTTCGAAAGTAATAAAATTCCATAATGATAATTTTCTGTTATCACTAATACTTGAATACATGATGAATAATAAATTGATCTGATTACTACGTTGCTATAATATGCTCTTGTTTCTCAATACATATATATATATATAAATAAATAAGAAACAACTGCTTCTTTTTTTGTTTCTGTCTCTCTCTCCTCGTTCTGCCGTTCACATGTATATATATATGTTTTGATAGAGATACATATATACGGCAGGGTGCCCGCTTTTTCTCTCTTTCTCGTTTTGAACGAATCTGTCGCGTGAAAGAGAGAGAGAAGAGAAAATGAAAAAAAAATGAAAAGGAGAACAGACTTTATAGATAAATTCAAAACGATTGAATAGTAGATATCGATGTTTATACGATGATGAAATTTTCCGCTAATGTACAATATCTTGAACTCATCACACTTAGACATTTTCGAAAAGAAGATGCGTCGTCTTGTTGTTATTATTATTAGAATAATCTCTGGAAATAAGTAATGCTCATAGTCGTCCAGATGATGAACAAATAGAGAAAGATCGACGACCTTTTCTTCATCGACAATGAGTAGATAAATAGGATATATCGACTAATGCAATACGCATACTGAGAGGCGTAGCACATTAATCAATATTTCAACAAACTCAATAAGAACACGTTCATGTTTATGCAAGAAGAATCGTATTATAAAAGAAAAATAAAGAACAGAACAAGCCTATAGGATTTAAATATAAGAATATGTATAAAAAGGTTAATGAAGCTTAGATTCCGATTCGATCATGATAATTGAAACGGTACTTAAATTTCATATGAAAAATTAGTTTAATCTAACATGAATGTAAAATGAACAGCAACTTGTTAGATGTTTACATCATACATATGAATGTTGTTGATGATGCTTTCATATACGTAATTGTTTTCTACATCTACTCTCAAAACAAGTGGAAAAATGTTGCATTAGTCAATTTTTTGAAATTATTCCATCACATTAATGACATAAAATGCTGCCGATTTCGATTTAGAAAAACATTATGCAAACAAACAAGATGTTCACTTTTGTTTTTATCATATTCACATATTCTTATGAGTTACAATACGTAGAAAGTCAAACTGATAGAATAGTTTCGCAGGAGTATGAGAAAATTGAAGTCAATCATCAAGTGAGTTTAATTTCATGGTTAAACACAATTTAATTTCCTATCATTATAAATCGATCATTTCCAGCTATGCTTAATCATTATTACAGTTGTTTTTTTATCTGAAACAAATTGTCTTAGAGCCAATTTAGAATTTCATCTTATCAAAAAATTTTTATCTGTTTTGACAGAATAAAAAAATATATGTATAACGTCAATTTTCTCTTTTCTAATGCTTTTCATTAACGTTCATGCAAGTTATAGATTAATAGAAATTTGAAGTGAAAATTTCGTTCATCGACGAAAATGTCATTTAACACGATGTCATATTAAATTTAAAAAGCATACAAAAATTATGTTCAGTTTGAAGTAGCCGTTTTATTTTGCTTTGACTAGATGAAATAAAACACATGTTCAGTAGCTAGGGAGAATTCTTCATTCTCAGTGTGATTTGAAAAAAGAATCACTCTAAGGGAATTATAGATTTTGTTGTTGAAACAAAACCGTGACATAAGTGCAACGTTCAAGATGCGACAAGGATTTGCTTTTAGTATGTAGTCTAATTTTCGTCGAAAACATTTTCTACGAGTTCTGAATACGATGGTTTATTCAATTTGGTACCGAAATTTTCATCGTTCACATCTCAGAAGACAAAATCCGTACTTATTTAATTGCACTATCGTATCGGGAATCTCCATCTTCTCAAGGATCAAAACTATTTCTTAAAAAGCATCGACGTTTGTTTTTTTCTTCTTCTAAATCTATGTCAAGTCAAATTCAATAGTGAACGAATCACGATTCGATGCTCTGCAGTTATATAGACTGTTCTCAAGTTTTTTTTTTTCTATAAAAAAGTAACAACAACAAAAAAAATTGATGCGATAAAATCACACATACATGTCTAATAATGTGTACCTGATATTAAAAAAAATAAGCTCACAAGATTTGTCCTGAAAATGAGAATTCATGTTAATTGGTTATGCAAAGTCGTGAATCTGTAAATATGGATGGTTTATAATTGGATTAGAAAAATACGTAATAAAACTATCAGACTGAAAGTTTCATACTTCATAATGAAACTATTCTAAACTAATTATGTCTATCGGAAATCATTGAAAATCAGAAATTAGTTTATCATACTCGATAGTATGTTCGTGTACGATCTTGATTAGAAAAATTCAAGAGTACTATACTATAAGATCTTTATAGTTATCAACGAAAATACGACCAATTTTCTAAAGATAATCATATCACGCAATCTGATATTTTGAATTCAATATCATTGTTTTTATCCCAAGATGAAAGTTGAACTCATTCATACCATTTCTTTGATCACAATTTCTAATTTTTTCTTTTTCTCTTGGCCTATTTGTACTTATTGACATGTCAGGAAGTGTTGAATAATCTTCATTAGAAGAAAATGTTTTTCAGAAATTCAAGTGATGTAAAGTACTCTAATTAAAATCTATTATTTAGAAAGTATGAGAGTATTTTCTTTCATATGATGTGAATGATTTAGGTTAAATTATCTGTTTAGCGTTGTTTATAGACGCATCCCACAATATGGCCTAATTAATATGTTTTTGTTTTTCTATCTATACTAACCATTGGGTCATAAAACCCTTAGTCAAATCTTAGCTCATTGAGTACAAAAAAACAACATCATAGGAAAATCTGGACAAACAACTGTTAGGCTGTAAGAATGCATATTTATTTGTTTCGTCTCTCAAAGATATCGATTGCATATATAAGAATGTTATTTTATTCCTTTTGTAGTCATAAAAAAAAATATTACAGAAAAAAAAATATACACCAGTTTTCTATTTACAATAATAATATTTTTTGATGATCTGTTTTCAGCGAAATATCATCTAAGAAATTGAATCCATGTGACAATAATCGAAAAAGAATAACCACTAGTTTCTTCTTGCATTTGTGTCAATGAAAAAAGCGATTATAACTCTATACCACATAGGAAGTCAGATCGTCAAAATCATTTAGACAATGCTTAATCGATTCTCATATTTATTAATGTAAAAACATGATCAACTCGTCTCTTAAATTTTCTTTTTCTTTCTTTATAAAATCAAATCAAATCAAATCAAATCACATATTCATAATTAACATCGAAAGAGCCAATGAAAACAAACGATTTGTCTCTATTGTTCAATACAGAAGAAGAAGAAGAAAAACAAGAAAACTTACCAGATAAATCATATTCGGCAGAAGCATTTACAATGTCCATAGTTAAATCATCATAATTATTCATTTTTTGTAAGTAAATATTCAAGATAAAATATACTATTATTAACAACAAAATTAATAAACTAAAGCTCAACATAAACGAGTTATAAAATGCTCGTCCGGCAATTCTGCTTTCTGCAACTATGGACACGATTTATGTCATCGAATAAATTTTGTTGTCGATGACGTATATTTGAATGTTTGCATCGAATACATAGTGATGTCGTGTACATATACGTATTTCTTTGATTACACGTAAACACACAAACAGATACGTCAGAACGGATATTCGTCTGTGAAGACAACTTATATAGTCACAACACTAAACTATCAGTTACGATGCAACTGGAGGAAAGATGAATACGAGGAGTATAAGAGAGAAAACAATTTTATGATTATATGAAATAGTGATCAGTAGCTTGGAATATCCGAAAAGGACAACAAACCAAACATAACTATAAACATTGTAACCTAATAAATTCATTTATGATGATCTCTATCAATACATTAGGTTTATAAAGCTAAAAACAAATTCAATGAATATCAAATGTAAACAAGCAACTGTTTGATATTTTATAGAATATGCTGACTGACCATAAGAGAATATTATGAGGTGAATAGTCTAGACTAACATTACTATTCGTAGATGAATAATAGCCTCAAGGTAGGAGTGAAAGATAAGTATCACAGAAAATTAATGGCATAGTGATGTACTAGTTCTGGTAACACATTAACACAGAAATATTTTATTTTCAGTACATTGATACATTTACTTTTACTTTTATATATTTTTTTTGCTCTTGAAAGTGTCATGTTTTTTGATATTATAAATAGACTAGTCAGAAACAGCTCGAAAACAAACTCCCGAGGTTATTTTTGTTTCAAGAAATTTTTAATTCATCATAAAAAGAAAAATGTAACAATTGATTTCTGTGAAATTGATCAAAAGTCATTTCCTATTGCAATCAAAAATCATAGCTGTATGTGTGTGTGTATGTGTAATAGAGAACGTTTGCTTTATCATCATTGCACAATAAATAAAGCAGTTTGATTTGCATGCAATGATAGATTTGCCATGAAATAGTTGGTCCTCTCAAGAAACATAAATAAGTATAACCTTGAAAGCCTTTCGGAGCTAAATAGTAGTTCAGCAAAAAATTGCACAGAAGGAAAACCAAACATATTTAGTGGAAAGAAATATAAATGGCAGAATGGATTTCTAGCAAAAAGCTTTCTACGATTAATAAACTGATAGAAAAACATTCTCTTAATGACAAAAAAAACTTTCCGTTTTTGTATTAAATTTCTTTTTTTCTTTCATAAGACGAGAAAAGGAATAGTCCAGTGCAAATTTTTCAACTGTGAAAACTATAGAAAACAACAATTCTTTCTATCGGTGATAATCTTACCATAATTAATAAATATTTGAACGATAGATATTGCTAAGAAAAGTATCGTCATACGATTCCAACTCTGTTTTGTTGTACGAATCATAATAATATGCGTACATGCTAGTCAATGGGTAGATTTTGCGAGGACATTTCGATTGATGAAGAATTGTATAATATATTTATATATTTACACGCAAGACACTTGTATAGATCTAGATTAAATATCTACTGTCGATTGGCGAATATTTTTCGTCGTTGACTCTTTATCATCGATAATTCTTGATTTAATGATGAAATATTTATGTCGGAGAAAATGACGCCCGATAGATCTCAGTTATTGCTCGATTTTTTTCTCTTTTTTCTGCATAGAAAAAAAGATTAATATGTACCAATGATTGGTACATATCTGTTAAGTGTGTCTACCGAATCTAGTAATCATTTCCGTATGTATCATGATATGATATCAAAAACAACTTTCGAACAATAATAGCAAGTGATACTCAAGGCTTTCCGTCACAAACATGCATCACAAATAATAATAAATCCCAATGGCTCATAGGCTATATAAAGAATAGATTATATAGAAGTGACAAACGATCATAGTTTTAAGAAGATTTAAGATGATTTAGATATAAAAACCGAATATTCTTATATTGAGTCAGCACTATTGATGAAAATGTGTCGACAGACGACAACAGGTTTTAATTGGAAGGATGCGACAAAAAAAACAGCCATGCTGACAATTATCGACGAACTAAGGTCAAATAAGGCAAATTAAGATTGGCATCCGAACTGAAGGATTAGAGCAAAAACAATGTTCGAGGATAATAACTATTATCTCTCCATCGATCATTATATGTTAACAGAAATACGACATGTTGATACCACGAAGAGAAGACGAAGAAAAAAATAGATTAAATGTTAAAGAATTTACTCTTTTTTACTTGACTACAATATATTAAGAGAAGTAAAACCATTGTTGCATGTAATACAACGATAGATCTTATCTAATCAATGTTTAATAAGAAACTTAATTCGCCCCAATGATTATTCGAAGTCAGAAACAAACAGAACTCTTATAAAGTTTCACATAGATTTATTTACCTTTAAATATAAGCCATGGATCATCATAGAGTGCTGGTAGATAAATGCATATTTGAAATGCACGCATGACACATTGTGGCTGAAGTAAAATAAAGCGTTCACGATTTAGTAGGCGTGTAAATGTTTCAGTAGAGACAACCTATAGGAAAAAAAAAAGGTAATTGATAGAAGAAGGAAAATGGTAATGAAATAAGAATAAAAGACCTGCAAATGCTAACAATTCGAAGAAGAAAAAGAAACTAATAGCTAATCTTTACGTCTTAGTAGTACACTTTATTTCGTTTATGTAATCATCCTTTTTCTCCAAATTCAAGACAATGGCTTAAATAAATACAGCAAAGAAAACAGAAGGCTTCTTTTTTTACTCGTACAGTAGCAAAATTACGTATATATCTAGTTTAAAGACATAGGTCACCGTACATATACATATTCATTAAACATATGAGATAATGAATCAGAGTGCTCGATTAAATTGTTAAAATACCTACTCGAATTAATAGATGAGTTGTTTTCATGGTTCGTGAATATGTTTTTGAAATCGGCAAAACTGTCGATAATTGCATGCTAGCGTCAATAAGTTTATTGATCGATATTAATAATCTCGAATCGCATCATTATGGACAAAATACCAACAAGTGAAAAGTCGATTCAAGCCAAGAAATATTAACATCAACAACAACAACAACAACGACAGCCATAACAAGGTCTACTATTCTGTCTTGTTTATCTATTTTTTAGACGTTAAAAAAATAGAGGCTTGGTAGAAACCAAAGAACGAGGCGAAGCAGAAGAAGAAGAAAACGAAGAAGGATGTGGATATACACATAGAGAAACGAGAAAAAAGATTTTCTTTATCTACGGCTTCAACTGATCGTCTTTTAGCTTGGATGCTCGACAACAGGCAATAGCAATAGAAGAGCCTTTCTGTTTTTGTCTGCCGTTAGCTACCAACATAGAAAGAAGAACGAACGCAAGAGCAGCATCTCATTAAGAACACGCGTACAAGAGATTTTTTTCTTTTCTTGTCGTCTCTATGCTCTTAACGCTCGCTTACTTGCTTGCTGCCCATGTCAATCGTTGCAGCACGGCCTTCTTTCTCTCTAAGTAACAATCTTATTCCAAGCTGTCGATATCATTGACAATTGAGAAAGGGAAAGAAATAAACCTATAATATATATTTGTACACGAATTAAAAAAGAGAAAAGACAAATTTACTTTTACTTATTTTACATTCTTTTCTTTGATTATGAAACAATTCTAACATATGCAAGGTTGAACGGTATCAAATACATACGTATATGTAATGGACTACGAATACTTACTTGATACTATTTGGTTTAATGCCGACTGATCGGAACCATTTCTATGCTCTATTATTGTGCTACACGATGGCTACGACGACAACCGTTCAATCATAGAAGCGAAAATGTCGAAGCAAGATTCACAATCTATTTTTTTTTCTAGAATTCCCCATTCGTCTCCGTCTATATATACATCAGTAGAGCAAAGAGAAAAAGAAAAGTTTTCATCCTTCATCCTTCACACATCAAATCATCTATCGATCTCTGTTTTCAAGATCAATGAGTTGTTATCTTGCCGAAACTTGGAAGATTTTTTATCGTTTCATGATTTGTTCAAAATCGGCTAGAAATTTATGTATATTTTTTAAATAAATATAAAATTAGTATTTCATAATATAAAAAATGAATGTATAAAATGGAATGAAAATATGACTGATGTTTTTTTTTTGTGTTTTGTAAAAGTAATTCATTTGACTGAGTAAACAAAGTTCATGATGCACCAGCCATTACTTCATCAATGAATGATGAAAAATTGTGTACATAAGAACCCCCAAGTATAATCCGTGCGCCTTGTTTATTCATCATATGAACATGTAATGATTCTTCATATGTTATACCACCAATCGTATAAACAATAATTTCACTTGGTCTAGAATGATTTCAAGGGAAATTTAAATGCGCATGCGTGTACACATAAGATCGATAAAATACTTTACTTGATTATCTGTCCTTGTGGCTGCAATTGATTCGCTGAATTACGATTATTTGGATTTATTTGATCTTTGGCACTCACATTCGGATAGAATGTGTCCTTCAGTTTACCACGTAATAATTGTTCGAGTAAATCTTTTATTAATGGTACATGTTGTGCATAGACATTATCAACTCCCTAGAAAAAAAAACAGCAGACAAATGTCAATATTTATAAAAGATTTTAAAATTCTTTTCATACTCTCAATCCTCGAATAAATTGTCGTGTTATAGCCATTGGTGTCTGAGTATTGAATAAATTAGTTTGTCGAAACTTTTGACCTCCATAGTTAAGTAAAGCTGGGATGAACTAATCATCAGAAACAAAAATAAGAGAGAATTATATATTTATTGTTTAAGATTACACGAATATTTTTTTCGGATAATTGTCGACGATTTTGCGCTTCATTTTTAAGTGCATTCAATTCATTGTTTGATTGATGTTCATAACGTAATGCATATAAACATAAAAGTCGAAGAATATCTTCATTTCGAACTTTATCATCATGCATTAAACGTTTGATTTTCTATTGGTAAGCATAAATTTAATTAAATATATTTTCGAAAGAACTACAAACTTGAACTATATCGTTATGGTCACTTTGACAAACAAGATTCTGTTCTATTTCGCTAACTTCAAGTAAATTGTAGAGACCAACAAGACGTGATAATTCACTAACAATGGTCACATGCTTCGATACAGTACCAGATAATTTTTTAAACTGTGGATATGTTTCAACAAATGTCTAAAATAATTAGAAGATTTTCATGCTATTTTCTTGTCAACTTGATTTATCTTCGATTTAGAATTTACATATGATTTCCTTTGATGTTTTCTATTTGAACAAAAAAAAAACAAAAGAAGTGACACATTAGATTGTTGTTGCCTTTTATCTAGAATAGTATTGTTATTATTGTCTACACTCTATTTCGCTCGATTACCGGTAATTACAGTTTTCATAAGTAATCAAAGCGTACTGATAGTTACCGAGATAGAATAGAGATCAGAAAATATAACTACCTACTAAAATTATAAACAATTTTCAGTCGGTTTAAAAATCATATCTGATGAATATTATAATAGTTACACGATAAAAGTTTATTTTGGTTTAATAATCAAACCTTCATATCACTAATTGATTCAAGTTTCGATTGATTTTTATGTTTTTCTTGAAAATCTTCCATCAATGCTTTTATATTCGTTGCTATGTCACCGAAATTACTATAGAGATTCTAGAAATATCAAAGAAGAAAAAAAAATAAACATTGGATCTATAACGAAAAATAATCCTTTACAGTTTCATAAAACTCATCATGTTCTGCATTCATTATCACTTCTTCAAGTTCTTTTTTAATTCCTGGTACTTGACTTAGATTAACACGATTATTTTTTATACCAATCAGTTCATGAACCATTGCTTGATATGTCCACTAGAAGAATATTGTTGACAACTATATGATATGAAAAAAAAAGAAAAAAATAGAATGTAACTTGATTCATCAATGGAGTTATTGCATCTTCACGTCGATCCACAATTAGAACAATTGTTTGGCTCGTATCATTAATATTTGATGTGATAGAATCGGTTTGAGTTTTCATAGTACTCTATGAAAGACAAAGTTTTTCTTCGATGATTAGTTTTGTTTGTTAATTTACATATATTCTATCAGCAAGTGTTTGTGCCATATTTGATGACTTCTGAAAACGAATAATTATGTTTCTACTTCTTAATGAAAATATCAATGAAACCAATCCTTGAACTGTTCGATGCAATACACTATCATTCCATTCGTAGTATTTCTAACAAAAGAAAAAATCAAAGATCAAAAACTAATTCGTGGTATGTAATTTCATTTTACGTGATACGTAGTTGGAATATTAAGTGAGTATACATGAGGGTTTATTGCTAAATAATCTGCATAAAATTCTTGTATAACTCGTACACATGCAAATTCATCGGCGTCAGCTAAAGTTTTGATAGCATTTGTTTGAATAAAGTTACTAAAATCTGGATAAAGTCCTTTGATTTCGTTTCTGACAGTCGAACAGTATCAAGAACTTACAAATATAATAACTTCCATATTTTGGATCGTGTAATTCACGTACTAATGTTTCCAAATTTTCTTCAGTAGGTCTTATAAAACAGATAGCACTTAGAGATTTCAGTGATTTTTGTCCTGTACTATCAATACGTTCAAAAAGAAAGACTTCTTTTTGAAGAAGTTCAGATTGAGCATAGATCATACTGACAATTGAAGCCTTTGATAAAAAAAAATCATTAAGACAATATAAAAAAATGATATTGTTTCTTTTTATGACAAACCGTTTCTTTATCCATAATGAGTCCTTTTATATTATCATGACAATCTTCAATCATTCGTCTTACATAAAAACGAACAGCTTCAATAACATTAAGATTTGCCATGATACTATAAGTAAATTTTTAATTTTTTACTATTTCAAAGAGTTGATAAGAGCAAAAAAAAGAACACCTAGAGATCCACAATCTCTCAGAAAGATAGTTTGACCCAATTATAGAGAGGACTTCAACGAGGGCGCTAGCTGCATTTGCTGAAGAGATGAAATAACTGAACAAAATACTTGTATTTTAAAGTTTTTTTCCCTATAATTATATTTAGGGATTTGTTTGTATCATTCAGGGTAGAATTCTTGTATCAACACCATTCAATAAGTAATAAGGGTATCTGTCGTCAACATTTTCTCATCTGGCTTGTATCAAAAGTTACACTATTTATAGAAAACAAAATAATTGATGTCACTATTTAAATGTGTATATTATAGAAGTTATCAAAAAAAAGAGGCTCTGTGAAAGTTGATGCCAACATTTTATTCAAAATAAAAAATTCTACTACTTACATTTGCAATTATCAACACATTTTCAAGATAAATTTTGTAGAAGAATTCAAATACAGTATATTTTTCTAGTGTAATATCATGATCAATTTGACGGATGTTAAATATTTATATCACAATTATAGATTACGAGAATTGATAAAACTATGCATTACATTCAAAATTTATCACAAACATTAAACAAAACTAAACCACGAGTTCTTGTGTATCAAAAATGTTTCGTTAATAGTTTTAAAACTATTATTTACTTCGTCCTTCAAAGAACATTTTAATTAACTTGCATTTTTGTTAACCAAATTTAGATAAATTAGTTTTCCTTGTTTTATTTATCGATTAAAGTTTGAAGTATATATGCATTTACTACGTGATAAATTAACACATGCTATTAGAGAATTGGAAAAAATTAAATGGAAGGTAAATATTGAACAACCAACGGATGTGACCATTTATGTCATAGCCACTCAAACCAATAGTATAGAAAAGCACAATAGAAAGTTATTCAACTATTCAGAATAAGTGAAAATACAAGTTATAGTAAGTGAAGAAAGTAAAAAGTACTACTTTATTTTAAAAGAAAAGAATGAGCAGTCGTCAATCAGTTTTCTCGTTGCGTAGAAAATTTGAAAAGATATATGTTATTAGAAGGAAAAAAAATCTTGCTAGTTAGCCATAAAATGATGAAAAAATGTAGCATGATATATAAGATATTATATTCTATAAACAACAAAAAGCGAAAACAAAATCATACTATAATAATAAGCTATGCCCGCATAATCGGTTCAAACCACAGAATAATAATCATAGGCTATTAATTAATCAAATGCTTCAATAACAAATTAAACGATTTGTAAAAATTCACTTGATAATAATTCCAAGCCTCATTTATCCCTTTTTTTCCTCAGAACGTAGTTTCTATGGTACAATTCAGATACGATTAAGGAAAATCTTGCAAACCGCCGAAATATTCATAATAACTCAAAATAATGAATGCAAAAACTTAATCTTACCATAGCAATAGGGAAATCAACATCAACGAATAAGTCACTATCTGAGTTTAGCATTGACTTACAGTTCTGCACATGATACTACCACAATGAAATTTATGTATCAAATTAATTTATTCTATTCTAATTTAGTTAAATTAAACTTCATAAATATTATAATCATTCTTATGATCTTGATCATTGGCTTTTTTTCATGAGTCGAATGATATGAAAATAGAACATCTCTCTTTTATTCATGTTAATCCATTCAATTAATTTAATATAATATAAAGTTCAAAATGCAAATAAATTGCGAAGCCAATCAAAGCTCGTATATGTTGATTATTTTCTTTATAGAAAATATTTCTGGAGAACTAATACCAAGCAATGTTATGCTAAGATATAGTTAGAACTGCCCCACGTCGTATAGAACGGTCCGTGAACGGCCCTAAACGCCTGAAAAACGGCAGCCGTTATGATGGTCAGCGACGAAGCACCGGAAAACGATGTGATAGGGCTAAAAACGGTGGCCTTTTATATGGTGGCTTCCGTGTGGTCGGAAACGACTACCTTTTAAGGCTAACGTTTTTTGCCGTTTTACATCTCTTTTATTTTTGGACATAAATATGGGTAAAATGCATACTTAGACATTGTCGTTCAGCCTATTATATTCATTTTATTTTATTTTTATTTTATTTTATTGTATTTATATTATATAACCCTTTCTTTCAGAAAAGCCCAGGTCGTTCTTCCCTACAATTGGATCCAATCGGGTCTGAAAACGGGTTACCTCAGATCTTATATGAAAACCCACGAGAATCGACGGATTCCGGGTTTCGAACCAAGATTCGGATCCATAGGACCGGAATCCGATACATATCCGATCGTATTCTACTCTGGGATCCGATACGCCAAAAAAGTCGTCTACCATAGTCAATCTCTAAGAAGCTTTTTTGCACTAAATAGAATTTTGATAATTTTTTAAAATTCTTCCGACGGATCCGTCAATAATTCCGAAACCCAGAATCCAATTGAATTTCCTCGGTTAGTAGGATGTTATAGGATTCGATAGAATTCGTCGTCGGATTAGTCGACCTAGGAGGGAATTATATTTATTTATATTATTTTATTTTTTAGCTTACTGCATTTTATTCTATTTATTTTATCTTATTTTAATCTATTTTATTTCACTTTTTATAATTTTAGTTCTTTTTTTTATGCATTTTTGTTTTATCGTTTTATTTTTTAATGTTATTGTATTTTAGTTTGAGAAATAAAATAGAAATGACCAACGTAACACTCATTTTAAACGGTGAAACGCGGCGAGATTGAGACGATAAAGGGCGAAAATAGAGTGCGTTTATCACTCGACCTTTTTCATCGGAAACGGCCTTAAACGACGTCGTTAACGTTCCTAGGAAAAACGGTACATAATCAGAACTGACGGAAAACGGTGAAAAACGGCGATGGTTTTTCATCGTTTAGGATGTTAATTACACCGTTTCATCCATCTTTCAGGTGGGCTTAATAATGAACTTGGGATGTAAGTGCGCAATAAATTTTATGCCCCTTTGTATGTTTGTGCTTCTGCTTTATACGCTCGTCTTTATAAAATTAGTTTTACGCGTCTGTATCACGACGGAAATGTCACAACGGAAGTTTCAGCATAAAAATGGCATGCGCGGAATTGGCGTGCCACGCAATATTGAAAAACCTGTTGCGGTGTTTTTTCCAAGAAGGAGAATACATCTTTTCTTATTGAACTCACGTAGAGAAATCTTTTGTTTATTTGTATAAATTTAAAGTAATACTTTATAGATTGGAGAAGTGCTATGACTCGAACTTCTTCTTCTTTTATTCAAGGGAGTGTTATCCGGAAAAATATATTTTTTTAAATGTTTCCTCCGCAGTAGATGTTATCAGATAACTACATATTCTCGGTTGAAAAACTATGGTTTTAATTTAATTACATGTGTTGCAGGAATATGTATTTATGTATAATTTTATTAAATATTCGACCGGGTTACTTGTCCAAATTGTTCTAAATCTGTTCAGATGAACTTGATTGAATCATCTAAGTTTTTATATTAAATGGAAACATTGATTGTTCATATCCGATAATGGCATATTTTAGGTATTTCATAGAAGTATTTATTTTGTAAAATATTATTCAATATAATCAAACAAAAAATAGTTTTACTTTGAAATATGTTCTATTTTAATGGTATATCAAGGTTTTTAATTGGATGCTGTAATAATGCCGTAGTTGTATTCAAAGTTGTACTAGACGTTATTTTATTTGAACTTGCCAGCCCATATGTATTAGTTGGACCTTCTCCTAAAATACGTGAACAGTTATGTGAAATCAAATTTTACTCATGATCATACTTCAATATTCAATTGACCACGATATTCTATTAGAAAACGTTCTTCTGTCATCAGTTGATTGTATGCTGCCTGACTCAGATGTATTCGACCAATCTAGAAATCAATGAATATTCTATTAACACGGTTCGATCATATTTACATTGCTAGGATCTGCGATTTCGCTTGCCTAAAAATAAAATCTATAGATGGAAATGAATAGGCATGAGAAATTTACTGTTTTAATAGTATCACCAAACAGACAATATTGGTAGTTTTTCGTACCAATGAAACCACCTATAGCCACACCCGAATGAAATTCTAACCCATATCGTGAAAATCGCCGCGATTTTGGTGATTTTGAAAAAAATCGGCGTAAAGTGCTAGTTAATCATATTTCACAGAACAGCTAATGATTAAAACATACTTTATCGCAATTTTTGCAGACAAAAATGATTAATCGTATAATCGGTAAAAAAAATCATTGATTAATCGCGATTAATCGGAGCTTGCGTTTTACAGGTACAAGTTTTCTGTTAAATAATCTATATTTTCACATCAAACATATATTATACATGCATCAAATTCTTGTTTTGGAAGTATAATTATTACAGGACGAAAGTTTAAACTAATTTATTTGATGTCAGTAGCATACCATTAATTTGGTTGGACAATGATCAACGTTTATTATATATATTAAAAAAAACTCATTTTATTACTGCTACTAGTGTGATAAAAATGCTTCGAATTTACTCGAGTAAGATACTCTTATCTTTGCCATGAAAAACTATTCTTTTGTATTCTATAGATCATCATGCATTACGATCGATTTGTCGATCGATGTCATCATTACCAAAATATGAAACATTGAAATTAAGTCAACCGAAACCACATGTAACTCTCGTTGAATTAAATCGGCCAACTAAACTTAATGCTATGAATAAGGAATTATTCGAGTGCGAAATAAAATATTCTTGTTCAAGTATCGCTAATGAAATCATAATAAATTTCTTTTTCATAGGGAATTGAAAACATGTTTTGAACAATTGAGCATTGATAAGACATGTCGAGCTGTTGTATTAACTGGTGCTGGCAAAGCATTCACTTCTGGTGAATTTTGTTTTTGTATTGAATTCATTGAAAATTTTAATTTTAAAAGGTATTGATGTTAAATATTTATCGACTGTTGCCATTGGTGAACTCAGCCAAATCGATGATTCAGCACGAAAAGCATTACATCTTCGTCGTATGATTAAACGGACGCAATCATGTCTACGAGCAGTCGATCAAGTTAATTCGAACTAAAGAGTATTTCATTTCGATATCAATAATTTCGATTTCTAGTGTGAAAAACCAGTTATAGCCGCTATTCATGGGCACTGTCTCGGTGCCGGTGTTGATCTATCTGTTTGTTGTGATATTCGTTATAGTTCATGTGATACAACATTTTCAATTAAAGTATTAACATTTTATTCAATATAAACGATTGCCTATAGATATCTATCGTTTTAGGAAGTTGATATGAGCTTAGCAGCTGATGTTGGTACTTTACAGATTCTAGCAAAATCAATTACGAATCATAGTCTTTTTCGTGAATTAGTTTTTACAGCACGAACATTCGATACGAACGAAGCACAACAAATTGGACTTCTCAGGTACAAATTCGATGAGTATTTTTCAAAAAAATAGAATTTTACTGTTCTAGTCGTGTATTCGATACTCGTGAAGCAGTCCTTCATGCAGCCATAAATTTAGCTAGTGTCATTGCAAGGAAGAGTCCTGTAGCTACCCTTGGTTCAAAAATACAGTTACATTATGCTCGTGATCATTCATCGGATGATAATTTTAATTTTGTGGTATGTCAATAGTCTAGAATTTCTCTTCATATAATATTTTTCTTTTATATAGAGTACATGGAATAGTGGTATGTTGTTACTGAAGATATTATAAAAAGTGTTATGGCCTCATCGGTATCAAGTGAAAAAAGCTTGTCAGCGCAGCCCCATTGGGGCTAAAATGTGGAACTCACATATTTCGGTCAGTTAGATAATGATCAAATAGAAGTTTTATTTTTTCAGTGTAGTGAGATCATATTTTGTTCAAAAATAAGATAATAAAACCTTTTTAACATTTGAAGTGTTTATTGGATCTATCAATAGGGAATATTACTAGAGAGAACGTAAGAAAAACTTTTTGTTTAAAATATGTCAGTATGCTGAAGTGTTTAGTGCTTTCATTGAGAAATATTGTGAATGATAATAGTTTAAACAGTATTTATGATATAACTATCAATATTGTTGAGAAATTTCTATTTTTTCGTATTACCAAATGAGAAATTGATACATTTTTTCATAAACGAAAATTTGATAAAAGCTTCCCAGTGGATGGAAACGTTCCGAATTGTAAATACACTAAAGTGGACTCAAGCTCTAGAATAAGGTATTCGTGTGAGAAAAAAAAAGATTAAAATCTTCAGCTGTTTATTGTAGGTGGTAGAAGTAACGAATGTAATAGTAACATAAACTAGTTGCTAGCGTCTGTAGCGGTAGCATACGCTCTTTGCTAACGTCTGTAATAATAAAAATATATAATGTCGTAACTATGGGCTATAATAATAAAAACGACAGATTTTGATGATTAATTAGAGACTAAATCCTAATTATAATGATTTCTAATTAGTGAACCTAGATTTTGATTAGTGATGTGAGTAGTGGTGAACATAGGCAACCCATCTGTATAAGGGTGTGGGTGGTAGAACACTGCATTGTCTAAACGCCCACGCCCATGCCCATACCCACACCCTACTTTCGACCAAATTCAAGTTTATGATTTGATTTACGTGTAAATTAAGTTAAAAGTAAATGTAAATTGGCACTCCTATTAGAAATATTTATATGTTTCGATAGAGGATGAGGAGCTCTACAAGAATATAAATATTAAAGGAAAAATTCTGGTTCTTTATTTTTAACACAAAACTTGGAAGATACAAGGAAGATCAATAAAATCATATGTTTCGCAACAATTAAAGAATAATAATATTTTTGACATTTAATAGAATTTTAGTATTTTCAATGTTTATTTTCTTCTATTGAAGCCATTTGATTCTCAATCATTAGACAATGATTTATTAGAAAAAAACCGAATTTTAATAGAAAAAATAAAGAAATTATCATTTAATCTGTTTTTTCTTTATATCAAATCATTGTCTAATGATTGAAAATCAAATGGGTTCAATAGAAGAAAATAAACATTGAAAATTAAAGAAATATGTTTGACTTTCAGTAATTTTAGCTAATTAACTATTTATTTATGTCTTAAAATCCAGTGTCACACAGTGCAGCTGGAACTAACCATTTAAGCAAAAATATTTCGTGAAAGCCATTCTAAGCAGATTTTATTTTTGCAAAAACTACGCAAAGTATGAAATTTTTAGTCATTATGAATAAAAAGTTGTTTAATTTACTTATAACTAATAGTCAACTCGATACAATCATTCTGTTTAACTAGATAACGTTCTAACATTATTGAATAATACTTTCATTAAATTAATGCCAGAAGTCACTTGTGTTTCTCTGGACAAAAACTATTTATCAACGAAATACACTTCAATATTAGAATTTTACATGCCTTTCTTCATCCAAAAGACTTATCCTTATAATTTAAATTAGAAAATGTTCCAAGTCATTGTTTTTCAATTTTATTTTGATCGACACATAACAATTCAAAATTCTAGTTTAACAAAAAAACAACATTGGCCATTTTCATTTATTGGGTTTCAAAAACACAGCAGCAAAAACAAATCCAGTTCATGTAATATTAAGTATGTTTTTGTTTCTTGGAATTTTTAGTGGCTTCTCTAAAATTCAAAAAAGTATAAGCTAATTTCCTGTACGCACCACCTTAGAAACATTTTCTCGACATCATGATTTGCTACAATGTTTTCTTTCACAGCTTCAAGTTCTTTGGCTAAAGATCACAAAGCGAAAACAAATCAATATCTTCATCAATCGATCGTTGTTGAAATCACTTACAAGCTACTATCCATTTTCTTGAATTCCATGTCTAAATTAGCTCGAGCTACTTGCTCCATTGATTCCCTAAATAAATGAACACATGTAATGCCAATTATCTAGCCATATGTCTCTTACGTCTTTTTTAGACAGGAATCTGGATGAAGATAAATGTCGTAGTGATTTTTTTCCAGAATATTAAAGTCGATTAACACCTCTATGAAAAAAATAAAAATCATAGATTTGATTGAGAACCGAACATTGAAAGCTTAGATTCAATTACCTTCGAACATTTTCTTGTCAAAATGTATGTTGATCCGTTCAAGACATGCTGTTGTTATAAGATCTGCCTTTTCTTCATTCTTAAGACCTGTAACATTTTTGGACATGTCGTCTATTATTTCTGTTAATATCTGTCAATGTATAACAAATTTATTAAACTTAGGCAAAGAAAATTTTACATACTTTTAACGCATCATCTTCTTTATTTTTATGCAATAACACTGTAGCATGTCCTATTTTCTGGTCCCATGTATCCAACGACATTTTATAATTAATTATATAACTTAAGATCACGAATTGAAGAAAATGTATCTGACGAATTAAATCAAGTGACAAAATTGGTTGAATGAGAATTTCGGTAATAAAATAAACGAATAACCGATATCAATGGACGAAATAGACGTGTGTAAATATCGAAAATAATATCGATTGATGAGAATAATCGTAGAAATGTAACAATTTGGTAATAAATGAAGTATTCGTAGAAATAAATCCAATAAAACCAATCCAGGAAAACGATCAAAGTTAAATAACAATTGAACGAAGTCCACTGCTCCAGGTCGATCAACTCGTGTCGAACACGGTCGTTTGACCACAATTTACGGCCGTTTGCTATGCACCGTATTACGGTCGTTTGGCATCGTGCCATAAACGATCGTATACGGTCGGATACTGCAATATCCGACCACATTACGGCCGTTAGAAACCGTTTACGACATGGCGTAATACGGTGCATACCAAAACGTCGAATTAGGGCGATTTACGGTCGGAAACGTTATAAAACGGTAGTAAACGTTGCCGTATACGGCCGTTTACGATCGTATCAGGTCACCGTAATGTTCGACCTGGGTGGAAACAGTTCGATACTAATAATAAGGTATATGAACGCAAATTAATATGAATCGAAAGATCGGCTTAATTACAATAACAAAGACAAATGAATAATAAAGATAATTATGATTTAATCTGAAATTAATAGAAAATGCAACAAGTATTTATAAAGAGTTCAATGATAAGAAAGAATGAATTGAACAAAGAGAAGTGAGCTAACATAAATGACTGACTAGATCAAGACAGATGTAAACCCGACGATATGAGCAAAGATAAGTGTATAATTGGTTATTTGAAAGCAATTAATCAACAGATATGGAGAAAGTATTTGATAAATGTAAAAAATGAACCAATTGAAATAAACTTTATAGAAAGAATATGGTTGAGATAAGGGGTAATAATAAATGACCGAATATGAAAGCGAAGACCGAATTTCTATCATTCTTTATATCCATTAGCTGGTTATAAATACGATTAGTTGGATTTTTCTTTATCTATTCTTTCTACTGCAAGTTATTTGCGAATGATCGAGAATCTTTCATGTACTTCAAGATCATCTTTGATGAATGTACCTTTCTCGTACTTTTTAAATTTCTTTCTTTATTCAGGTGAATGAATCCTATGACGGATCCTATCACCCAACAGAATCCGATGGGATTCCGGGTGACGGATTGACTGTCGGTTCCAACGGAAGAAAACATTTTCTTAATTAGGGGTGAATATGCATATTTTCTCATAATAACACTAGGGTCATACGTTCATGTGGGATTCCGTTAATTTCCAACACTGGGTCCTATGGAATTCCTACACCAAGGATCCAACTGTAGGTCCTGACCCCGGAATCCTATAGGATTTCGTTGGTTTTATTGGAATCCATGGATATTTGGTATATTCACGGTCTGACCCTTGTCGGAATCCGATAGAATCCTAGTCTCGGAATGACTCTCTTGGGTATTATCTCTGGCCGTCTCTTTAATAAATTTCCTTGTATTTCATTTTACAGTTTTTTTTTGTTTTTTATTCATCTTCGTAAACAAATAGCTAGTCTTATACAATCATATGATCATCATAAACAAACACTCCATTTAATTTTACACAACCAAAAGAAAAAGGCGAAAGCTATATGCGACATCATCAAGTGAGAACACAGATTTAAATAAATTATTCATTTATTTTCCCCTAGATTCCAATTACATTGTCTGACGGCACAGCAACTCGAACACCAACAAACACTACCAATGGCGGTAGGTGTGCAAGTAGATTTGTATTAGCGTTCTTTCTAGCTTTTTCTCCTAGGTCAATGATTCCGGAGAATGGATACTGTAGGAACCGGCCGGAAAGATGCGGAAAATCACCGTATCTGACTGGAAAGCACGGGAAAAGCGCTGGAAAGCGGAAGCAGTATTCCGGTTGGAAGTTACCGGACTTTTTCCCTATGGGTTCCGGTCAGTTTCCTGTGCTTTCCAGCTGGAAGTTGACTGGAATCCACAGGAAAAAAATCCGGTAATTTCCGATCGGAATACTGCTTCCATTTTCCAGCGCTGTCCCGTGCGTTCCGGCCGTGCCTCCACGACCTGGGCTCTATAGGTTTCCAAATTCAGCACAGACGAATAAGTTGACACCGTTCAAATTCCAGCTGATCGAACGAAACCAAACAAATGTGTTTTAAATGCTATTAATAAAATTTTCCTTTTTACCAGTGCAATGCATAGTGACGCGTAGATAACTTGTGATTTCTTCTTATTTCTACTGTTATTTCTATTATACCAGATGAAAAAAGGGCTTGATTTTTTTAAAATAAAAGCAGATTGAATAGGTTAGATGTAGCCGATAAAAATAAAATAAAATAAAATCTCCATCGAATTGCGTTACATTAACGATAACACAATGGCTGATATTCAAAATAATTGGTAAATAAATCGCGATTTATCGCAATAATCGCTGAAAATATCACAAAAAAATCGGCGATTTGCGCACGATTATCGTATCGATATATCGCGATTAATCGCCAATTTTTTTGCCAATTCCCAGAACATGGGAAATACAAGAATTGTTTTTATAAGTTGCTGATTTTCAAGAGTTCTTACCAAATTTTAAACCAAATGGTTTAAAAGTAATTGGATTATGAATACATTCACTGGCACATAGAAGTTCAAGTGATAATGCTGCGATTATTTCCGCTAAATTCAATTCACAAAGAATTTGTTTTCCATCATCGCTTTTTTGATCCTCATGATCTTCTTCGTTCAACAACGATGTTAGTGACTATAAATATTTACAATAAAACTATTAATTTTAATTCTAAAAAGGAGTCCCTACCAACTGTGATTTATTTTGCGTTTGAGCTAAATATGACTGATGGTGTATACCAGCAACTACCATATACCCTGCGTCTGTTATTATTTCTATTTTGAATATATCAAATTGGTCGGCAATCGTATCAAATAAAGTAGCAACTTTATTCAGATATGTAATAGCGCTAGCAGCATCAAGATGACCAGTTAATGTTTTAAAATCGACTATATTTGCGAACATAATAGTAACAAGAGGCTGACACTAAAACAAATACGAAATCTTCATGCTTAACTAGTATCAATAATAAATACAATACGGTTTACTTCACTGGTATTATTAGTTTTTTTTACACCAGATTGAAGTAAAAGTGCAATATGTTTTGGCATCGTTGAATGCAGTAATCGTCGATTTTTCCTATGACTTGTATGCAATTCACGTCGTACGCATGATGCTTGCCTCTCCCAAAACTGTTGCTATGAAATATATCGATAAGTTCAAAGAAATAAAATAAAATTGACAATCCTAAAACGAACTCTATCAGTAGTCTCTTTTAATTCTCGCTCTTGACTCGTGTCATGAATCAATCGTTCGCATGTACTATCAAGTAAATTCAAATCCGTCAATTGTAATCCAGCTGACATCATATCATCTGCAATTCCTATACTATAATGTTTTGCATTAAATGCTTTATACATTCAATAGAAGGAAAAAAAACAAGTTTTAACTGACACTGGATGACAAAGAAATAATAACATGTTCTTGTGTTGTATATATTTCATTTAACCTTTCAATTAAATTCTACCTTCGGGTCCAGCACGTAGTGCGATTCGATTTTCCATTACAAAGATAATATGTTGATCATATAGGGAAAGAATCTTAAAATAAATATGATATTACTTGAAGAACAAAAATAATAATAATCGCACTATCCTTTATCCCAGCCGAAATAAATATCAGGTTGAATAAGCTGAAAGATTTGATTGAATACTCTTCCAATCAAAACCGTATCATCAGAAAAAACTTTCATAATATTTTTACCGATATGAAGAACATCTAACGACGAATCCATAAGCACAGAAAATGGAAATATCGAGATTAAAAAAAAAGCATGATTTCAAACTTGACGGCAAAAACAATTTTCATATTTACTCGAAAGAAAGTTGTACCGTATAAATCGGATAAGGATGGAAAATTGAATAACCGCCTACTTTCAAATTCTTTGTTTTCGAATTGTACCCGCGTGATAATATGCGAATCTAATACTTTTAATATAAAAAAGCGTATATACGTATATATGAAGTCATCATAATAATGCTCACAGTGTGCAATTGATAAATCATATTGTACAATGATATCGAGATCGGTCTGATTGAATACTACTGATGCTACAGTTGTGAGTGCACCGATAGCAAAATGAATAAGACCAAGGCGTACGCTTCTACATATAGGTAGTATTTCTCTGTCACTTAGAGTTATGTTATTCAGAAAAATAATACATTACTTGTAAACAACTGTACTCCTTCGTCATCTTCTTCCGTAACATGAAATAATGGATATCGCATTTGTGAAAAAGTAAATCGGTTTGAATCATGTACTTGATTAATAACAAAAAGAAAACCACGTAATGTTCGTCCAGCTATTCGAATTAGTTTATCAAAACCATATCTGTAAAAATAATGAGCAAAATGCCCCAAAAAAATTGTAAGTATTTATTACGTGTGCCACTATTTAAAATCTCAACCAAATCTATCGACATGAAAATTAGTTTACAAAAAAACAAAATAATTAGAAGTCGACTTTCAGTCGCAAATTTTTATAAGTAGATTATCATCGTATCTTTTATGAAAATCGAATGTTTCTAAAGGTAAATTAAGTTCTTATGCAACACGTTTCCACATAAACGCTTCATATGAACGAAGAATATCATCTCGAATGGTATCCATGAAAATACCGTATAACATTTTTGAGAAAAATTTTATTGTAATAAAAAAAATAGATTATCAAGTTTCCGATCTCTAATGAATAAATCGAATTGAATAAAGTAAATTGAGATTTTATGACTTTTACTTAATATTTCCTTGAGAATTACTTCCATATTTTTTATAGACTTTATTTGATACATTTTGTTCTATTCTCTCAGCATCGAACATTCAGGTACTATGAAAGTTCAAAAACAAAATCTACAATATTTCTTCTACTATCGATAGGAAAAGTGCTAGTTGAATCTTCTATGAGAACGATATATCAGTTCAAAAATATGTTTACTATGATATAAACAACACATTACCATAAAGTATGATACTTTTCTCCGGCAAAGCGTCAGTGCTCGTACGTCTTTGCTTTTCTTCTAGATCTATTTCATGATGCCAATGAATATAATGTCTCATTTTTACATATCTCGTATTTTTCGAAGCGTCTTTTCTGAGACTGGTCATTATCAGTTTAAAAAATGACACAAAAATCAGTAAATAAACTAAAAAGACAAAAGAAAGTAAACAAGCAAATTCTGTTACATGTGTTTTAAATGGTAAAAGATTTTCGAATTTTAATTTAAGCTTGTGCGTCTATAGTGATATCATCAGTAAAAGTCAGTAACAGCGTAAAAGCTAGCTGCATGAATATTAACCACAGAAAAAAAATTTACTGAGGAAATCTTTTCCAGTATGATTTATTCTTTTAAAATTCATCATTCAAGCATTAACAGAGAATCTCTTAACTAGAAAAATTCCACTTGGATTGACTTTCAACCGTTTGCCTTAGATAATTACAACAAAACATTGAAAGAAAAATTAAATAAAGAATTTTTGATTTGAAATTTTGTCTCTTCGTTAACCTTATGGTTCTAAAAGATATAATAGTGAGAGTGACTTCCTTGTTCAAATATTCAAATAACAATTCAATATCCAGAAGGGTTAAAAAAATCCAGAGATATTATAGATTGAATATCTAAAGAATGTAGCAGCCAGTTCTACTAATAGTTTTTTAAATATTTCTAGACTAAATTAAATTACATAACAGAATTCTAAGCTTATAGTTTATTAGCAATTAGAGATATTATTTTTAACAAAAATGCGAAATTTATTTCTCATCTAAGACATACTCAAGATAAAAGCTAATATCTCTTTGGATAGTATCTTGAATTAACGAAATTATATTATAACCTACTGACTAAGTTTAAAATATACACACTTTAACAAGTTTCTTTACAACCAGTGTGCGAGTCATATCAGCCTGTTTAATTAATAAAAAGAAAAATATATAAACAATGGACGAAGCTCGTACAGTTTAAAACCGCTTCATGTGCTAAAGTAGATTTAAATAAGATTACAGAAAGATAATTCTTTGATAGAAATAACGAAAAGAATATATTCTAATCATTACTATAAATACAGAAGTATATCTAAACTTCCAATTACTTTTTATTTATATTAGTTTGTTTAAAGCTGCATATGGTTCGTTTGCTTTTGTTTTTTGTAGTTGTCCAGCATGCAGTAATATTGTAAATTAGTCAATACTTTCAAACAATTGCATCGTTACATAGAGACTTCTTCATGTGACGCATCATTCTCGATGAGTCCTATAGAACCTAGTAGGAGACGAGTAAAACATTTTTTTTTCTACAGGTTATGGCTGACTTCGTTGGTGTTTGGTGATTGTTGAAAAGATCCCATAGCAAATAAAGGATTTCTGATTACTTAAAGTGAAATATCAAATATTGGATTCTCTCACTACGGCACAAGAATCGAATAGCTATTTTTACGTTGATTCATTTATCTAACCATGTTATTTTCAATTACAACTAAAGTTTTATTAATATAGTATTATCTTTGTAGCACTTTTCCACAAGGATCAGTTGAAATTTTTATCACTCTGATGCAACTTAATAAATTTTTGTATTATTTTATGCGATACCTTTGTCTTTAAGTTTATGAATAGATCAAACGGTCCGGTGTTGTATCCTTATTTAAATTCTACAGTTATACGTAACTGTGATTCTTTCACCATAACTACGCGTAACTGCGATGTTTTCATCGTAGATACGCGCAGCTACGTCACAATTTTTCGCAATTACGGATCACAGTGCGATCGCAGTTACGGCGTAACTGCGCCACAGTTTCATCGTAATGAAACACTTTTTTGACGTTGTGACTAAAAACAGTCGTAAAAAATACATGTTTACAATGATTGTGCTTGTGAAACTGAAGAGAAGGAGAAATAATTTTCATTCAATTTTGAGTTGATTTGGTTTTAATCTCTGATGTAGTAGCAGAGTAAAATTGTAAAGAAAGTGGCTCCATATGAAACGCTTCATATGTGGCGACCTCGCAGCGAACAACTGTAAATTGGTGACTACTGGCTATAACACGATGCTCTCTGTGCCGATATGAAGGAGAATTATTAGGAGAAAGTTTTTGTACAGACATCCAAAGTTTGGTTTACCATGGACATGCACATGTTTATGAATCTTTGAAATGCTCGAATTGCGTTGAATCATAGGTTAGTCGATTTGTAAACATAGTAAACAGAATATTTTAACGGTTACTTAATATTGATCGAAATGTAATATTATACAATTTCAATTCAGATTAGATTTATCGATAGATATTATATTATAATTTTCGTCGCTGCAAACTTATACTATAAAATTATCAAATATTTAAAGTTCACAAAGTTTATCTTCTATGAATATGAAATTAATGGAACTGCGTATGATTTAGTTAATCTAGAGAAGTTGGGTTGAATCAAAATAAAATAATAATAGAGAAGCAACAAACACATCGATAGTATAATTAATTATGAAAAAAAAAACTTTTTGTTTTTCTGATCGAGTCGAGGATTACTTGGACTAAGATATTGGAGTAAACGACTGGTGTAGAATTAACAGTATATCGATTCTATTAGATCAACCACAGCTGACAATTGTTTTTCGGATCGTTTTATTATTAGAAATATATTTTTTGAATGTCAACTTGACCTAAAGATCGTCTTCTTTTCTTTATTGATAAAACATATAATCCTCCCTAGTCGAACTATTTATTCGTGCGGTTGCAAGATTTAAGCTCAAGATGTGTCCATACCGCTTGACTTTCTTACTCAAGACTAGGACTATAACAGTTCGGAAATAGTTCAGTTCAAAAGAACTGTTCGAACAGTTCGTTTGAACTGAACTGAACTGTTCAAACAGTTCGGTTCAGTTCAGAGGAGCTGTTCAAAATTCCTCTTAACTGAACTGCACTGTTAAAAACAGTTCGTCTGAACTGAACTGTTTGAACAGTTCAGTTCAGTTCAGATGAACTGTTCGAACAGTTCGTTTGAACTGAACTGAACTGCGAACTGTTATAGTCCTACTCAAGACAAGCGCTTCAATGTTTGCATGAGTTACAAAAGAAATGCAACTATAATTTTTTATTAAAAGTTGAGTTATTGTGAATGTAAAATTGAAAAAAAAAGTTGAAAAAGTTCTTTAATAACAGAAACGCTTAGATAAAAATTCAAGCGCATGAACAAGAAGTTTAAAAACTTGAGCTCATCGAAAGGGTTCATGTCTTGCCTCAAGATGTGTCCATAGTTCTTGATTTTCTTGATCAAGTAAGTCAAGAATTGCATGCGCTTGCAAAAAAAGGCTCGACTAGGGCTGTTATTTATTGTTATGAATAAAAAATATGTCATTTTGTTATTCTGTTTGGTCTCATACTGTATCCGACAGCAGATAATTCGACATGCCGATTGTGTCCTTTTTATCTATATCCAGTTATGTCAAAATATTCTGATATAGACAGTTACCCTTTACATTGATCTAATATTGATTTCGATAAATAACTTATTTTGCTGTTTTGCTTTCATCAAAATGTTTTGACTGGCCACTCAAAAATTTAGAAAATGCAAAAGGGAAGTGATATATTTGATATTATTACTCAAACGAGCATAATATATCCTTCCTTCTTTTTTCTCTTTTATTTTTATTATATATCAAAAATATCATTGATTGAAACTGAGAATAGGAGTTATATACTCGATATAGTTTATCGCGTGATTGATTGAAAAAATGAAAACGAGCACTATGCTTCTTTTTCTTTATAAGAACAATCATCGCTTCAGATATAAATTCTCATCATGTCAGGATCTGAAAATGAACATTTAGAAATAATACGTAAGTCTCTAAAAACTTGTCCAAATTTCCCGAAGAATGGCATCACATTCATGTATTTATTATTTTTTTTTACCTTCTATTCGGAAAGAAATGTTTTTGTTTTGAATTTCAGCGATATCTTGGGTATTTTCAGTAATCCAACAGCACATCGTGCATTGATTGATCTAATTTTAACTCGCATTAGAAAATTTGATACAAAAATTGATGCTGTTGTTGGACTTGAAGCACGTGGGTTTATATTTGGTCCTCAGATTGCTTTAGAATTACAGGTACCATTTCTTCCTGTTCGAAAACATGGTAAACTTCCTGGAAAATTAGTCAAAGTTGATTATGCTCTTGAATATGGTAATCGTAATCTTGTTCATATTTGTCAGAGATAAAATTTGACAAATCATTTTTAAGGTACGGATACAATTGAAATGCAAGTCGATATTCTTAAATCAGGAACAAAAATTCTCTTGGTTGATGATATACTTGCTACTGGAGGTCAGTTTTATTAATATTCTTATAGCTTCTTGTTCGAAAGAATGATTTGTATTATTTTGTTTTTCAGGAACATTATCTGCGGCACAAAAGCTATGTGCAAAACTTGGCTATGATGTAAGCGAAACTTTAGTGATTATTGAATTATTGGGCTTAGGTGGACGTGAAAAATTAGCCAATATCGATCATTTTACTACTCTATTTCAATATTCTCAAAATGATATAGAAGCTATTGCAGCTCGATACGAAAAATGACAGAAAACAACGATGTGTATGTAGTAGAGAAATTGATTACCTGAAACAATCTTCCTGCTTCTTTTGTCTTTATTTGAATACATTTGTAATACCTGTGTGCGTCTCAAATCTTTTCTTTCACTCATAAGAACTCAAGAAAAAATAAAATAAAAGGAAAATTTAGTTTAAATGAAGACAAGTTTGATAGAAATTTCTAATCATATTTAATCATTTGCTACAAACTGCTTATAATATTCATATCGAATTAGAACGATATAGATATGTCGAACGAATACGATTAATTTTTTCTAGATACTATGTTATGTTTGACTGGCGGCCATTTTTGTTTGGCGGCCTTGCTTCAAGTGTTGCCGAATTGGGTAAAACTTGATTGTTTACATAACGTTTTTCTATATTTTCGTTTAACTAAACTTACTGCAAACATTTGATTAACTTTCTTTGGTTTCAATATTTTGAGAATAATAAACAAGAAAAATAATTTTTAATTTTCTGTAAAATTTGTATAATCTAATAAAACTTTTGTCTAGCAACATTTCCAATCGATCTGACAAAAACCCGGCTACAAATTCAAGGACAAATTTTCGATAATCAAACTCAACAATTGCAATATGCTCAAAAAAAGTATACAAATATGTTTCAGGCAATATATCGGTAAGTGCTTCATGAAAAACATTGAACATGATCAAAACAAAAACAAAGTAATTCATTTTATTTTATTTTTTCTAGAATTGGTCATGAAGAGGGTGTGCGGACACTATATTCTGGGTATATAATTGTTACCTTTAACGGATTTTTATGATGCTACTGTTGTTCATCCGAAAGTTCCCCTATAATATCATGATCGTCATCATTTTTTATGTTTGTTTTGATTTAGAGTTTCCGCGGCATTGTTACGTCAAGCAACATATGGAACAATAAAGATCGGTATATATCAAAAAATGAAGCGCCTTTTTGCTGACGATATTCGACGTTTGTGTTTTGAAGGAAAAGTTTTTCTTTACATTATTTTACCTCTTATTTTCTAGAAGAAAAACTTTATATCAATGTTCTCAATGGCATGTTTTCAGGTGCATTAGCTAATGCTATAGCAAATCCTACAGATCTATTGAAAGTAAGATACTAAAATATATATTCATAATTGACTATTGAATTTAGATTCGTATGCAAGCGAATCATCCAAGTGTTCAAGGAAAAGGACTTTTTACTGCAATGGCTTCCATAGCAAAAAAAGAAGGTGTCCGAGGGCTTTGGAGTGTAAGTAGAAATAGTTTTCTACTACTTCTATATTATTATATCTTTGTTTTTCTTTGACAAAGAGTGTTCTTCCCACTGTTCAACGAGCAGCTATTGTTAGTGGTGTTGAATTGGCTGTATATGATTGTGCAAAGCAGCAATTAATATGCCAGTTAAATAGTTCAGATACAATCGGTACTCATTTTCTTGCATCATTTATTGCTGGTTTCGCTGGTGCTTTTACCAGTACACCGATTGATGTTGTACGAGTAAGTTAGGATATTTTATTATTTTTATCGATGGTTTATCGTTCTCTTTCGAAGACTCGTTTAATGAATCAAGAAAATTTAAGTTCTCGTGTTAATTCAACAGCAGCATCAATGCCTTATAAAGGTATTATGGATTGTTTTATTAAAGTATGATTACTTTTGTTTTTCGTATAAATTTTAATCATTTCTTTGTGTCACATTCTATTTAGACCACACGAAATGAAGGATTTTCTGCGTTATACAAAGGTTTCTTTCCTTCGTGGCTTCGATTGGGTCCTTGGAATATTGTGTTCTTCATAGTATTTGAACAATTTAAAAACTTAGACAGAACGTTGGAAAGCAGACGTGCTATACCCATTGACCAGCATTTATAATGGCGTCATCGACAACCCGCTTACTTCTATACCAGCAATTGTTGTTCCATTTTTGTTTTTATTCCGATAATCTGATACTTCAACGTATCATCATTTGTTGTTTACTGATTCTTGTTAGCTACTAGAACAGTAGTAATCGAACAAAAGATATAAAAAAGTACACGAATCTACGTTTTGTTTTTTTGTTGCATTTATCGCACTTTCTGGTTCAAACTTCATATTGCAATGTCAAATAAACAAGAACGATCGACCTTTTTGTATAGTCTTTTTCGGTCATTTTTACTTGACTTTTCGAATATGCAATAGAAGTTTATATGGTACAAAATAGGTGTTTGTTGACAAAGCTCATTATTTTGATCGTTGATCCTGTGAATTTGCAGCAGAAATCCACTGAATATTGGAAGGACTTTGAAAATAGTTATTAAATAGACCATCTTTGTATTATATACCCGATGTAAAATAGAATAAAAATTATGAAAATGAAACCGAAATGGGAATATTTACAGGTCATTGTTGACATAGAGCATTTCTTGTATGTTTACAAGATTTTATATCAATTTTTATACTCTTAACTGGCACAAAATAACTAAAAGATACAAACAGCAAATTATTTTTGTTCAATTTTTATTTTATCTAACTATTATTTTATAAATCATATTAGAACACTCATTGAATGATGAAAAATCTTCTTTTTGTAAATCTCTATATTAAACAAAACAATCGAAACTTCGGACAATGAACGTTTTATTTAGTAAAAACTTATTCATCTGGTTGCTATGTTGTTTAGCCATACCCATGTTAAGTGCATATACTTGCAGCAATAGAAGTTGGATTGTAATCTTAGCTTTCAGTTTATTTCTATTTCTTCAACGAAATATTGTTTTAAGAAAATATTGAGATTATTTCGAAAAGAAAACTAATGTAAAAAAACCTTCGAATACAACGCATGTTGACAAAAATCGATCGATACATGTGCAAGACAAATATCACAGGAAATCATCAATCGAAATAAAAATACATAACAAGAGCTACCGAAAAAATCAACTGAAAAAAAAATTATCGAACATTTTAAGGACAGATTGATCGATTATTTTGAATAGAAAATTATTGTAAGGACTCATTCTTCACATAGATTACGACAATATTCGATTGCATACTAATTAGAGAAAATAAAAAATATTTTCATTGTCGCGCATCATAGATTGTTGAAAAATTAATTGAAAATGTCAAATCAGATACGTATTCAAGTGTTTCTGATGAAAATGAGACTTAACTAAACGTATATTGCTGATAATTTATCGTTGAACGTCGTTTTCGTTCCGTGAAATATTCGTTCTGGTTTAAAAATAATAGAAATATAATACTAATCGCCAAAAACATAATCATATTGACGATATTTGCAATATCTGTATCTTATCCTTGTTATTTGTTTAACCAAAAAGCAGAATATTAGTTGATTATGAGATATTTGAGCTCCCATAAATACATTTGGCATCTAGGAAAATGAAACTACGCTTTATGAATTTTCCTTTAAAATTCAGTTGATAGGCACTGCAATATCGAGATGTATTTTCAATAACAACAAAAAAACTCCAAAAGCTGAGCCAATTCTCATCTCATTTTCATAAGACAGTTGTCTTCGATGACGTTATCCAATGAAAATCAATTCCTATGGAATATTTTTGATTAATGAAAGACAGATCAATGATTATAACATCATTTTAAACCAGATTCACATTGAAATGTAGGTTTAAAAAAATTCATTTTCTCAGTAATATATTTATGTTTTGTTCTGAACACCTATTGAAAACAGCAGTAAACTTGACTAGTGCTTCATGGTCAATAATGGGCTTATTTGTAATATTTCGAGGATATTTGTTTTTCAACGAGACATCGTCGTTTTGATTACGACATGTCATGGTTAGCGTTTTTACGGTCATTCTCACCTATTTAGTCTTTTCTTCCATTTTCACGGCATTACATTTTTGCATAATGTTCTTTAATTACATTTTTATTCGAAAAAACGATAATCACAACTGAAGATATGATACAAAAACGTATTACCTTTTGATTAGAAGAAAGAAAGCAAATATCAGAAAATAAAATATTAATAAACATCATTAACCATACTAGATGAATATGTTGTCATCATAAAGGCGATAGATTAATTGCTCTTCTATCTGCGCATACATTTGATTGCTAATATGATAAAGGTTTTATCTTTAATTCATCCTACGAAGGATATATCAATCAATCAGCAAAACGATTAATAGCACCTTTTAAAAATGTCAAATATTTAGAACAGACACAATATTTTAGAGTTGAATGTTTTGTCATGCCACTTGATATGCTTCCTTTCTGTTTGTTTACAAGGCTAACTTTTTTAATACGTCAATAGCTATACAATGTCATAATATGTCTGTACTAGTCTCGTAATTCAACTGTGTACCAAGTTGCTTATCATATATAACGGGTTCAATGGTTTTTAAATTGCTATTTTCTTTCTTTCTACCGTCTTATAATTTATTATCAATACATACATATATAAATACATGTGGATTATATGAATACTACCTTAAATACAAACAAATCTTCATCAAAAATATTTGATACAGGCAACAAATATTAGTTGATATTATCTTCTGTGTTTACTACCATTTGTTAATATTAAAACTCTAGTTTATTCAACCGAAATGTTACAAGAAGATAACTCCGATAATGAACCACAACAGGTATTTAGAATAAAATATTATTTATAAATCTGATCATAATACGACTCTTTCACATTCAGATAACAAGATCAAAATCGTGTAGTAGGCATAGAAAATCGAGTTCAAATGGAGGATCTTATATTGTTGATTATGGTCCAGTACGTGTTCGTCACAGACGAAGTTTGTCACGAACAATTGCTACAGGACGTCGATCAAAAGATGAGCCACTTTGTGGTAAAAATGCAATAAAGCGTGAAATACGACGCGCAAAAAATCGAATAGCTGCTCGCGAATTAAAAAGAGCAAGAGATCAAATTGAAGTAAATCTTCTTGAAGAGATTAAAAACCTTGAACGTGACCAATACGACTTAGAAGAACAACATAAAAAACTAGAAAATCGTAAAGCATATTTGAATAGAGCAGTATATAATGCTAAACAAGCTCCACTCATTCCATTAATTACTGGTATAGATATTCCTATTATTTTCGAACCACAAGAACGACATGACCTTATGATTGATCTTCGACCGTTGTTGGAGATGCTCGATGAACAATGTTCTACATCTGACGATTAATTTTGTATTTTTTGTTTATTTAATAAGACAAAGTTTTAATAAAACAGACAAAAAAGTAATCATCTTTAAAAACTTGAGAAACAAGTCATGAAACATGCAATTAGCATATGAATATTCAGAACTAATAATCTGAAAGCGTCACTATTGAATACATTTTCTATAGAATGATAATTTCTCATACTCTAGTGAAAACAAACATTAACAACTGGAAAATTGTAATTGCTTTGTTTTTGATAAATCATGCAAATATTTTATCAATAAAACTAGCAGATGGAAAATTAGAAACAAAAGGCAATGAACCATATGTTCATATCGTATGATTTCAAGTGGTTCATATCCTTGCAAGATCGATCTGATTGAAGAAAACCTGTCTCAATGAGTGTGACCTATTCATACGATAAGAACGAACCTATTACGGTCATAAAATACGGAGCAATTTTCATGAACATCAAAAGATTATGGAGCAAGAGAAAAACAATATTTAGAGTCAATCTTGTAACATTTCATCGATTTCAATAAATTTTAGCTAAAACTTTTTGAATTTTGAATTATTGAATCTTGACGACAGGTGAGACGAAATTGAAAAAAGTTATAACAAGCATTGCTTGAATTGTTTGTTGAAGAAAATCTGATTTCTATAATGATTGTGATTTCCTTGTAGGCTTTTGTATTGATTCAGAATATCATATCTATTGTACTTTATTATTGTGAAATGACCACAAAAACGAAACACAAAACTTATTTTTGTTAAATAACTATCCGAAAATTCATGTGGAAGACAAGTGAGAACTTCGTTATACATCAAATATATGAAATTCAAAATGGATCTCTCTAATTCTAAATCACAGTAAGTTATAAATTGGTTTGAAGTGAGCTTGTTCATGGCAGAATATCGAGTTTCAACAAACTTTTTATAGAAAACTCATGCTAACTAGGCTGTATTATTGAGCACTACTTTGTCTGATATAACCGTACTGACTGAGTTTTTTAACATTCCAATTCACTCAATGGAATTTGTCTTAATATTGCAGTATTTTTACTCCTCAGAAGCTCCATTTTCCATTCAAATTTACCTTAAAATCAGTAAACTGTTTGATATTATATGATATAAAAATACATCAATATGTTTAGTTCTTAATTTTATATCATGCAGTATAAGTCATGCGATACTAGAATGATTCTTGGCAAATAAAATGAATAGAACTGTTTTTCTCGTAAGCATATGAAAATAATTAGAATAAAATCGATCGAAAGTATTTTATAAAAGCAAGAATATTAGACCCTGAATTTTCAGGTTTACCAATTTTAGAGATAGAATTGTTAGTTTCATAAATCTCACGATTCCTCTGCTTATTTGTATATCAATGAAACTGTACTTGTTTATGTTTGGCATAGAAACGGACACGAATAGACAATTTTTTCATTCGTATTCAATTGATCAAACATTACAGTACAAATCAAATAGCAATTATAACTAAATGTTTTGATATTAATGTATCCGAGAATTTCAGAAACTAAAAGAATTACTTAATTTTGTTGATCAAAATCAGATTTTTGCGAATATTACTTAAGAATAATTACAAAAAAAGAAGAACAACTTGTAGTTTAGTGAGATGAGAATACGTAGACTTGACTGTGGCTGCTAAATTTGTATCGATCTTTCAATAGTTGGCAAGATCGTAAAATTAATGTAATTAGTGTTCAATCCATATGGAAATCTCGAAGCTCAAGAATTCGTCCTTTTCCCGGGTTTCTTCATTGTTTCTTACAGGAAGCAATTTACATTCTGTCTGCTTTTATTCCATTCAACCATTACTAAATAGCTGTGCGAATAGACTAATATGAGAACTAAGTTTGTTTCTGCAAAAGTCTGAAAGATAACAAGTAAAAATGTCATCTTATTTTGAAGAAACGAGATTGATTGTCTATATTGTTCGTACATATCTCGAACTGCTGTTCTTTTACAATTGTAATTTACTTCTGTTTCTAGGGTGCGTTTGTAATGCAGACAAAGACAACGCGAAAAAATAAATGTCCCATTCAATTTGATTTTAGTACCTTATGAAAGCGACATAGAAAACGTAACTTCTGTACCATTTAGTTTTCATTAGTAGAATCGTATTTGATTACCTTAATATTGTTAATGAACGCCATCTGTTATTTTTTGTATGTGCCAATGCGTGTTTATTATTCTGACTAGACATGACTACCAATCGTATTCAACTGACTATTTTTTTTTTTGTTTTCATGATGAATAAAAAATAGTTCTGGTTTTATGCTCCTATATCATTAGGATTTAAGTTAATAGAATATTCCAAATCATAGATCCTTCATTTGAATAGATAGCCACTTGAAAATTAAGATATGTTTATTTTTTACAGACTTACCTCACAGAAAAAATTCTAAACAATTATTTATTTATCTTTGATGTGTCATGGTTGAAAAATACGCATAAAAAACAACTACATACACAATTTTAGATAAATTTAAAAAGAAAACAATGGCATTATTAGATCAATTCGTTGGAAATATTCGACAATTATCGATCGAAGGTAAATATTGTGATTTAGCACAAACATTAACAAATCCAAATTTGGATCATCTCAATAAAAATATTCAACATATTGATTCAATTATTGCAACATTTACTTTACCTGAATATTCGATGGTAAATTAAAAGTTACCGTTTACAAACCAAATAATTTAACTTTATTTATTATTTTCTGTCCTTTTTTAGTGTATGTTAGCTGCTTTACATGCCATTGTAAAAGCACCAAGCATACCCGACATCGATTTATATCTTACCCAATTTGATACATTTATTCAAACATGTTCAACTGAACAAGTTCATTATATACCTCAATATCTATGTGAAATATGTCATGTTATTACAGAACGACTTCGAAAAGATAATCGAGCTCGAGTTGGTAAGTAATTGAAATTAATCTGATTGTAAAAATTCTTTCGAAACATGGTCAATGGCAAATAAGAGGATTAATCGACTAGAGATAAATATGATCGGAAAATGTTGACTTACATGCTTTGTTTTATGACCTTGATATAACCCCCTAAAGTAAAATATTGAATCATAGAAAAACAGTCTTTTTTTGTTATCGTCTATAATAAATTAAGTTAACTTTAGCAACATCAACTATCTGCCATTTATTAAGTAGTAGTCGAAAACGAAAAGAGAAAATGTAGATAGAACAGTCGCGTTATTATCGCTGTATAGTTTTGTTTTGTGGTATTACATGTCATGTACGAAAAAGTAAAACGAACTATTTGAGCCATGTAACAGCAGTATATACACGATGACCTTCACATTGGATTTGGATGCTTTTCGCTATTGATATTTCGTAGTACTATTTTTGTTGTCTGACATTTGTTTTTGTGATGTATTTTTGAACTTGAAAGATAGGGCAAGGTAATTGAATGAATATACTATGAAAAATAAAATATATTAAATAACTTGATAGACTAAACAAAAACAAGAAAAGATTGGTCTTCTTCAATATATCGTCAAGATTTCCTTTCGTCTGTAAATTAAATTTTTTTTAATCACGATCTCGAATCATGTTTTATGATAAATTTTCATAGAATCTGTTTTTTTTCTACAATGCTAAACTAACGAATCTTACACGAGATTCAATAAGATCGATGCTCATACATTCAATGCAGTTCTCAAACGAATAATAAAGTTAGATGAAAATTCTCAAATAGATCATTTCTATTGCAAAAATAGGAGTTCCAATTCTATATCGAGCCATTGAATTGCTTCGTCGTGAACCTGGCCAATTACTTTCCATTCATTCTGATCTTTATCAGCTTTGCCTGCTTTGCCAATGGTTTGAACCAGCATTGACATATCTAGATATCGATATAATTGATATTCATCGTGAAAATGGAAGATTTGATGTTAAATATTTGTTACTTGCTTATTATTATGGTGGCATGATTTATGCCTGTGTAAAACAATTTGATCGTGCTACTAACTTTTTTGAGAATGTTATTACAGTACCTGCTACAGCAACATCAGCTATTGTCATAGAAGCTTACAAGAAATATGTTCTTGTTAAATTGATATCTGGTTCAATAGGAAATATCCAATTACCAACATTTACGAGTCGAAATGTTCAACAGGCAATAAAAAGTTTATGTAATGCACAATATACAGAATTATTTAATATATTTAATAATGGTACATTAACACAATTCGATGAATTTGTTAATCATCATCGAGAACAATATGCACGTGATAGAAATTTGGGTTTAATAAAACAAACTCGTAATGCATTTATATGTAACAGTATACAACAATTAACAAAAACATTTCTTACTGTATCACTCAAAGATCTTGCAAATCGTGTACAACTTCAATCACACAATGAAGCCGAAAGATATTTAATTGATATGATTGAAAATGGGCAAATTTTTGCATCGATTAACAAAAAAGATGGTAAAATTAAAATTTATTTTAATGTAAAAACAAAAAAAAAGATATTTTTCTTGGAATTATTTTTAGGTATGGTTATCTTTCATGGTTCACCGGAAAAATTTGATGCTAATAATATGTTATCGAAATTGCAAGATGAAACAGAAAAACGTATGCAAGCTGAAAAACAATTAAGAGAATTAGAAAAACAAATATCATTAAGTAAAGCGTATATTCAACGAACACAACAATCAAGTCCCTATCATGATCGTCCGAAAATATTGAATTAAATCATTGACTTTTTCTCAAAATTCCTTCTCTTGTCTTTTCTTTTTTTGTCTTTTATTCATCGATTTATTATAAAACAAACAAAGTCAGCAATCGAGAAAGAAAATATAAACAGACCATTTCAGTTGTAAAAAAGGAACAATCAAGAACCTTTGTTTTTTTTCTGTTGAATTCTCTTCTTCCTCTTTATAGATCATATGTTTCATTAGACTATTTGCTTCACAATTATGCAAAGAGATTTTTCAACAATTCCATTATGTAATACACTTCGGGATATTAATGATGTATGCAATACTTCATTTCATATTTCGATTTATTAATATTGAGCTATTTTTTTCTTGTCTAAAGGTTACACCGCCAACGTCACAGTTTAGCATGTCTTCAACACTAGACGACGAACCAATGATTATCGATAATGAATTAGCTCCTCAGCCTGGCCAAAGTGATCATTTACAGTCGCTATATAATCATAATCATATTACTAATATTGTATGTTAAAAATGTTTTTCCCCATCGTTGTTTTTGCAAGTTTTTTTCTTTTTCTTTCGGTTCGTAATACTTAACGTAGGATGTTTTTTTTACTCATCATCAATAGTTTAAAAAACTTAAAAAGGAAAAGAACGAAGGAAAGAATGAAAACTACAGTCACGATTTGTTTCTTCTTTGTCGGCGATGAAAAATCTATCTGGGTTTCTTTGAGTAACTAGCAAAAAGAAAATAATACGTGTGACATATTTAGTCTGTGAGTTCAGTGATGACCGATAAAAAACGTGAAAACCGTCGACCACCATCCATAGTTAATTTTCTAAATGAATTTCAACATTTATTCAAATCACATGAATTAAAACAAATAGCTGTAAGATTTAAATATTGGAATGAAAATCAGTACATCTATAAACTCATAAATAAAATTTCATTTTTACTTTTCTAGCCATTGATGCGACCGATTCTTCGGCCTTCTAATAATAATGATGAAAAATTTTCTATAGAACGGCACGGTCAAATTTATAATGAAACTTTAATAAACGATAATAATTTAATATCAGAAGCAGCTGGTTATGATTCGGCTCGGCTGGCAGAAGTTGATGCCGATGAAGCTTTTGCACTTCAACTTCAACAAGAAGAGTATGGGCGAGAAAGTGTGATACCAAATCGGCATGAATATCTTCCCTTTCGATTATTCGAAGATCATGAATCACCGGGAGTGACTTTACATCCTTCCTTTGATTCTAATGATCCGCAAGTTATGAATGACGAACAATACGCAGCATTCGTGCAACAACAACAAGGACGACCGAATCCACGATATCGGCGGCAACCATCACCTAATGTATTTTTACGTCAACAATCGAATCCAGAGTCAAATAGAACTTCAGACATCGATCCCTCCAATATTCAACAAATTCCATCATTTTTGGGGATTTCTCGACGCCAAGTTGCAAATAGTGACGATGATAGTGATGATAATAATCCTTTTATGAATACTCCTCATCCTTTTATTCAATTCCTTACTAATCATGGCCGAACTATGCCAGCGAATTTTATTCCAACATTTTCTGGCTATCGCCCACGTGGTCATCGTCGTGGAGGAAATCTTCAAGAGACTGAAGAAGATTTCGGACCAGAAGATTATGAAGTAATTTAATTAGAAATTTGTAAAAAAAGAAATAATTTATTAATATCACTATTGTTTGTCTAGCGATTACTTCGACTTGATGATACTATACGTAAGAAAAAGTTAACTAAAGAACAAATCAATTCTATAAAAGAAGAAAAATTTATTCCTAAAGCAAACAATACTGAAGAAGAAAATAAATGTGGTGTATGTCTTGAACTTTTTGAAAATAATCAAAGTTTACGACGATTTCCATGTAGCCATATATATCATAAAGAATGTGGAGATCGTTGGTTACAAGTAAAGATTCTTTTTCCGTTTTGTAAATTTCTATTTTATTCTATATATTTTAGGAAAATAATGTTTGTCCAATATGTCGAGAACCACCAATTAAAGTACCGTCATCAACAAATTCACGTCATATTAGAAATATGAACCATACAAGAAGAGGACCAAATAATAATCGAACTTTCAATCATCGAAATCATAACAATAACAACAACAACAACAACAACAACAACAATGACAATAATAATAACTCCTCTAATCATAGTAATAATCGGCGAGGACCAGCACCTCAACGCCAATCGTGATATTTGTTATATCCATCAATTGATTGATTATAAACTTTTGATATATATATATATATATATATATATATTTGTATGTGCGTGTGTGTATGATTATTTATAATGAAATCGATTCAGTATGAGAACCTTCAGAGCATATATTTTTTTCTTCAGAATAATTCTCAATACCAGATGAATTAATCATTCATCGCTTTTTTTTCTTTTTTCATTGCTGTACAAAAACAAGGCAAAGTTTCAAGAACAAAATCAATGAAAATTCGATTTACAGCTATAAGATTGAAATATTGAAAAACAAAAAGTTCCTTTCTATACCATATATATTCTTTTTTTCCAGTTTCAGATGATTTATCCTACTGACGAACAATATGAAGGCATGAGGAAAAAAAATATTCTTTTCACTTTTGTTTACAATAGCAATTTTCAATTAAGATTCATCAACAATAAATACTAATAAGAATAATAATCATTCTCGTTCAGTCAAAGCTGTAAAAAGTACAAGATCCCGAATAATACCAACTGCATCACAAGCAACAATGCAAGAAGACCACGACTATGATCAATGTATGTAGTTGTTTGATGAAATCAACCGATAGAGACTAAGGATTTTTCTTTTACCAGCACCATGTCCTAGTTTTGATTTGCATTTATATGCGCATATTGAACGTTCGTCACTTAATCAATGTGTTTTCACACCAGTTCCTCATCAAACAGGTAAGAAGAAAAGAAATTTTCTTACACACTAATGTTTTCTATGGAAAAATTCATTTCAATCTTTTTTTCAAGCTGAAACATCAGAATCAATACCACATAAACGTAAATTTGATTCAGTAGATTCTGCTCATGAATATATAAAAAACACGAAATTCGGTAATGATAATGGTGAATTAGCTGATCTTATTTTCAACATGGATATGCGCCTTGATGATCTAACCCGCACATGTAATGGATTACGTGCAGGCATTCATACTTTGACGAAGATGGTAACACAACTCGTTCATAATCAAACACAAGTAAATTGATTTCTATTAAATGTAACTTATTTCAATAAAAATTTGATTATTAATGTAGAATACAGCTACAAGTGACTATGATGATACATCACAAATGGGATTACCTTATGTACGATCTTCATCAAGTGTATCAGCAAAGCCAGCGTCGTATAGAAATAAACGAATGCGTAGTACTACTACTACTACTACTCCTACTTCAGATATTGCTCCACAAAGACCGACAGAATTTCTATGTCGACTTATACGAAAAGTTTATTCAACTGATGAAATAGTGGCTGGTATTAATTCTGATGAACGTCTTGATAGAATTAAAGGCAAGATTTCAAAAAAAAATAAAAAATAAATTTCTTGTTATCCAAGATTTATAATAATCATATATATATATATATATATATAGAAGCTGTAGCTGATCGATTTTTTCCCAATAATCCCGATCGACTTGAAACATTTTGGGCACGAGAGGCACATCAATCAATTCTTGGCCAAGCACGTGCTCAACGGTGCCGAGAAAAAAAAGCTAGGTAGATAATTGTTTATTATTATATGTTTAATCACTAATACTTTTATTTAGAAACTACACAGTAGAGAACCGTTAAATCTCCGATATCAACATGCAATATGCATAGACTTGTAACATAGCAAAACCAATAAAAAAAATGAACCGCATATCTATTAGTTAAACTTCTCTTTTCTTGTTGTATTGTAATATTATTATAGATATTCTACTGTTGTTGTTTTTTTCAAGACAATAAAAGAAACGTAGAAGACATTAGAGATGTCATGTAGATTACCAACCGTTTTCTATGCAGGACTATTCAAACAAATTGAAAAAGTATTCTGGTGGAATTCTTACCTTCCTCATTCAATCGTGATAGACCCTTAATACTAGTGATGTAAATCAGAGAAACTATTGATTATGTTTTTTTCAGTAACTAAAAATGACGAACTTCAAAGATCGTTATAAATGTTTTAATAGTAATTGGAGACATAGGATGCCGATTGTCGTATAGGCACTAAATACCACTAATAACAAGACTATTCTAAAATCTTCCTTAAAATTGCAATATCTATAAGACATTTATCGAGCTTCGCTGTATTATACAGTTGCTGTTTTTACTCAGATAAACAAGTCCCAAAACATCTACGGCTCTGAATCGATCTAGACTTTTGTGAGAGTGAAGGAAAACCTACTGCAATTATATTACATCTGATATTCAGCTAAAAAAAAACAGAACAGAATACAAAAGGTGAAGCTGATGCTATGATAGCTGCGCAACAAAGAGTACTCAATCCAAAGATCAAATGTTAATGGTGCCATATAGTACCTAAGAGACTCTAGTGATTATTGCTTCAAAGAAAAAACCCAACTGACAAGCATGATGTATGTCACTGACATCTATTCAACACTTTCTATCTGGTCTACCAAATCATACTGTAGCTAGAAAAAAAAAAGAAGAAGCAAGAACGAACGAACGAAACTATAATAATCATCCATAGTTTTACATTTTTGACTCATACGTTTTGGATCATTCCGAGCGTATCTACGTGATTAATTTTACTAATGTTCTGACGAAATTTTTGATAATCCTTTTCATATTCTGACTTTCAAGTATATTCTCAGAACATATTTATTCTCACGGCTGAATGTTTTACAGATAACATGTCTACAAATCAACAAAACAATCAAGAATTATCAGCATCCTCAAATACCGAAAACAATAGAAATAGTTCTATAACAACTAATCAAGTCCAACCTGAAAGTACTAATTTGAAAAACATCCTATAGCATATCTAGTGTTATTTCACTCTAGGTCCATCACGAAGATCTGGGGAAATTCAAGAAATTGATATTGCAGAAGCTGATCAAAGTGACAGGTACATAATCCAATAAATCTTTTTCGGCTTAATCTATGTCGTCATGAAGACTAAAAATCAAGCCGATTAGCTATTGATAAGTCACCGTTTGCATAACAAGTTTTTTCTTTCATCTCCAATCTCATGTGTTTCACAGTTTCCATCAGTTTGTCCCGTACCTTCTTAACTGCGGACACTTTTCACACCAATTAGTGAAAACTGGCCGCATCTTGGAATGATTGAACATGAGCTATCTCAATTCTATCGTGTTTCCAACAAGCGGACAATTTTTTAATTATTGTATCATTTTGTAAAGTAACACTTCGAGTACAAGATTTATTTGTACAAACGTATAAAGATGTACCTTTTTGAGTTTTACGTTTCATTCGATATAAGTAATTATTATACAATATTGCTTTTTCACCCTTTTGGGTTGCTGAGAAAGTAAAGTTTGTAGCCATTGTATCAAATGAAATATCCTGCTGTTTCTCATCGTTTTATAAGTTCATCAATCATACATATCTCATGATCTTATTTCACAATAACTAATTAATTTAAAAAGTGTCCGCTTTTTGGAAACGCGATAAAAATGAGATAATCTATATTCAATCATTCCAAAGTGCGGCTATTTTTCAGTATTTGGTGTGAAAAGTGTCCGCAATTAAGACGTAGCCGTTTGTCCATACTATATTCATTATTCGTAATGCTGTTCGTCAAATCACAGGGAGAAACCTGTGACTATTCTTGATCAGAGGCAACCTTACTGTTTGAGAACTTACTTTGTCATATCGGACAGAAACATTTCTTTCCCTACATATTGTGCTCAGTTTGATTTGAATTCACACCCTTTTTGTTTTCAATCAAAAAAATACGATCAATTGAACATGATTTGTTATCAAATACTTCCATAACAAATTGATCAGGGGATGCGTCATTTGAAAACGAGTTAAAATGAAATCAAAGTCATCTTTCGATTTGAAAATAAAGGTCCTTTGTTTATTAATTGGCTTTGTTTTTCGTCTGTCTATATATAATACGATTCTTTTCTATTTTCATTTAGTTGGGAGACGGATGATGAAGGTGATTTTTATACTGAAGCATCGAATGGTCGACTAGCTGATCCAGACGATGATGATGATTTACTTGGTTCGGGTTTATCTAAACATTTAATTGAGTGCTATCCGATGACAACTGCTGAGGAAATAGCAGTAGTTGGTGTCGTATGTGATATTTGTCTTAACGAATATAAGGCAAATGATAAAGTACGGACTATTCCCTGTTTACATCGATTTCATACAAGATGCATTGATAAATGGCTTAAGGTCTGAAACGTATAAAGTTCACTATTAAATTTTACATCTCTTTTTCTTTTCTTTTTTTTTCAGAAAAGTAGTAAATGTCCCATGTGTCGTAGTGATTTAAAAAAATCGAAGTGGTATTCAGCTTGAAAACGATCTTAACGAAAAGTTAAAGCTAATTTTTTCTCTGGCAATGTTATTTTCTATTGTTATATTGAGTGATTCTATCATCTTTCTCTTTCTCTTTTTCTTTCTTATGACATTCTTTGTATGATTTTGGACTGAATGTATTAATAGTCATCATATTGAAAAATGACAATGAATCGTGCCCAAACTGTTCATTTCATTTTGTGAGATTGTTCTAACAGTTAAGCAAGATAATCTATGAAGATATTTAAAAAGTAATGCATCTTGTTATAGTTATGTGTTGTGTTGTGTTCTTCTCATTCACAAGTTTGTCATGCACTAGACAATAAAAAAAAGCTTATTTCACTATACATTCGAATTATTAAATATACTTCTATTTCACTTTCAGATGATAATTAATAATTCACTCTTATACGCCATGTCACGAATTTGTGTATTTTTTACTCTTATCTTGCCATACAGTCTTGCAGAAGGTAACCATTTTCATTTTTTTTGAGATGAAAATATTGTTTTTACTTATTTTTTAGTTTGGGTTATTCGTGTATATACGGCTAACGAACAATATGCTGGAACAGATGCTAATGTCTATATTCGTTTATTCAATCCTAAACATGAGAGTACTGGAGAATATCAATTAACACATTCAAATTGGCAACCTGAACCTCATGAGCTTCCATTCCGAAATTTATTCGAAATAGGTGCGGTTGAACGCTTTCGTATTCGAACAGAAGATATTGGAGCTGTTGCAAAAATTGAAGTAAGTTATTTTTCAGTTCTAAGCCATAGACGTTTGCAACTGATCATGAAAGAGTTGCTTCGATATTGAAGTGAATATACGTGTTTAAAAAAACAAGTTTCGGACTGATGAACATTTTAATGAATGTTCCCAAGAGGGCTTCACCGTGTTAGTGTGAAAAATGAACCCACTGTTTTTCATTAGACAGTAATAAATATCTTTCAGAAAAGAGGAGAACGGTTTCTGAAGAAACATGAATAATTGAAATAGGCTTTTATTTCCGTAGGGCAATTCGTTTCAAAACTTAATCATGTGACAATAGTACGTGATGAAAGTTGAATGGATAAAGGTTGAGTCTTTACGAAGAAGTTGTTCTTCTTTAATATGCAGGCAGAAATGTATAATTTTTATATAAAAACGTCAGTAAACAATGCTTTTGTTACTTGGTTGTATTGGACATTTGGTAGATGCTGTCAAGTAGTGTAGGATTGAAGTGCTGTTTCACAATGATTGCATTGTTCACAAGCATCTTGCTAAACTAGACAAGTTATTCATAAATGTAAGATAAATACATGGAAGAAATTAATCAAAAACAGATAATTATCTTCTATGTAAGAGATTTTTTTAAAGAATGAATATTGTTAATAGTTTTTATTTTTACAACGGATGGAAGGATGAAGTTTTCATGTCAAGTCATTCAATTATATGACAGAAAACTTCAGAATACAGTTCTTAACAGATGATAAGAGAACTTTTTACTTGTCTAACAAATAGTTTTGTTCCGAATGAATGAAATAAACAAGACTGCTTCATGGTGCTACATATTTCTTCGCCTAGAAAGAAAAATGAAACACTGGTTCATTTTGACGTATGTTTGTACTGAACAATATAGATTGTCGAGGAACACTTCATTCGCAGTATAATTGATTTGACAGGTTGTCTCATTAGATTTACATTTGTTTTTCAATTGGCGTTTTTGTTCTATGTTATAGCGAGAGAAATTAAAAATATAGGTGTCAAGTAATCGAGTAAATGAAATAAATATTTTTAGTCTCGTCTTTTTCGTAGCTCTTTCTTAGTGTTAAATAGTTAAGTAATGAGATATCTATTGATATTAGTGCTTCATTAAATGTTTATCAAAGCGTAAAAGTGTGAAAAACAGCAGTTCCGATTTTATGCACTTCTGGAAACAAGAATAGAACTCAGGTCTCTGTTTTTATCATAGAAACTCTCGTTTATTTCATTGAGAAACATTGCAGAGCGCATTCGATGGCATCGACTGTAATCTAAATTGACATTTAATCTTCTAATAAGAAGATAAATTTCAGAACCTTGGCAACTTTTATGTACATGACAGAGTATTATGCTAATACCTTTTTTAATTCCATGTCATATAATATAATGCCTGAGAAATAGTAAACATAGAAAAAATATGGTCAGACGACTATAGTAAGTATTAAATATGAATTTCAATTATAAATCATACTTTCATGTTTCTTATTAAAGCACGATAACTAAAATGGAACATACTAAACTACAGAGAGTCGAAGTTTTCCATTTAATCATTGAAAAAATATAGAATCATGACGATAACTGCTATGGTTTTTACCACAGCTCTCTATAGAAAAATAAAACCTAATTTATATTCGCCACTTCAATGAACTGCAGATAACGGCTTGAGTAGAATTTTTGTTGAAAACGTTCGTTAGTACCCGTATATTAGCTCGAGTATGATTTTTTCAGAACTCTTACTTGCACAAGTAGCCAATAGTTGTGCTTAATTTATACTTGAGGAAGTTGACACTTGCCGGTCTGCATTAAAAATAAAAAGAATTCAGTTTAAGTTTTAGCCTCCTCAGAAATTGGAAGTTTTTGAAATTAGTTCGTGCTCATTGGCTCCAATTGTATGTTGCATAACAAACATGAACATATTCCATCAGACATAAAAATTGTCTGAAGATATTATTTTGTTCCGTATCGTTAAAATCATGCATTGATGAACTTACCTATTTCGTTTAGATTCGTCATAATAATTTTCCAAGTTTACATGCTGACTGGCTACTCAATCAAGTTATAGTTGAACGTGAACGTGACAATAAAGAATACATATTCAAGTGCAATTGCTGGCTCAGACGAGAACGACCATATGCAACAATAAATGTTTTGCCTGGTAAGGAAATAACCTATGACATGTATGAGTTTCTTTGAGTAATAATCTACAAGTTAGATATAAAATTGAAAATTTAAAGGTTTCTTTCAAAGGTTGTTGAATTTGATTTATTTTAGATCCAAACGCTCCCACAAAACCAATCGACAATGCATCGTCAAACCTTCGAACTCTAGTTATCGTTGTTGCTGTTTTAATCGCTGTGGTGATCGCTGTGATTTGTTGTTCCAATGAGTATTATCGTCGTAAACATCAAGCGTCCATGCTATCAACTTATCCTAATGAAAACATTTATCAAGAACCATCTCTTTTAAATGCACCCTATGCACAAACACCTGAAGTACAATCTGAATCATCAGAATCTAATTTATGGGTTAAAACATTACGTCGATGGAAAGACTTTCGACAAAGACCACCTTCATATATTCATGCACAAGGAGCTCAATTAGCTTCTGCTCCAACGACACCATCATTAGTTGTACCTGACGAACCACCATCTTACGAAGGTATATATATATATAATTTCCCATTTCAATTATCTTGAAACTTAATTTGTTTTTTTCCTTTTTAGACTTATACCCAAATTCAAATTTACGAGCGACAACAACTTCAAATTCAATTATACGATACATTTAAGAATTCAAGTGTATCTGTGATCAAAATTATTTTGTATATTTATATATGTATGCCATATATATATATTTTTGTTTTATTTTTTTGTTGTAAATAAATCTCTAGTCAATTGCTTGCTTTTTTCTTAATAAAAAAAACCACTAAATTATTTGGTTCTCTAATACATTCTCGTCAATGCCAAAAAAGACCACCTACACAAGCGCTTTTAAATGTATTAACATTCCTTTTACTCCATATGTCTCTCTCGCCCTCTCTCGCTTTGTAACAGGAGCACTTGTGTTTCGCTTACTGCGCCTGATGTTATGAATTGGAGACCAGATTTTCTTTACTCTTTTTCACTTCAGTTTCTTTCATTCTTTTTTTCTGTTTTGTTGATTTCCTTCGTCTTTCTCTCTTTCTTTATTGCAATAACTCTACAACGTCATCAACACAGCTCTAGGTTCGGCTATCAAAAAAAAAAAAAAAACCACTTCGGTATGGGACGGTAGTTTTTTTTGTCGGTTTGCGCATAGAGAGCAGTGTCGAACGATACAGGCAAAATACTTGCGCATGTGCATGTGTATCTGTCTGTGTAGGCAAATACTGGCCCTTGTTACCCTCACTAAATGCACACTATTGACGATGACAATATCCAGAATAGAAGGCAAGAAAAAGGTTTTACGTACACTACATTTAAGATGATATAAATTATCGTGCATAATTTATTTTTTCTATAATATGTATCTAAAAGGTAATCGTCATTGCGCACTAGTTAACTGATTTGGCTACTGGTGTCAATATTCATATTCTCTACTAACATTTTCATAGTATATATAGATATATTGTTAGTGGGCAAACGTAGCATAGTTGTATTGAATTTATCCAGTGATATAATCATTTGTTTGTTACGTTTCTGTCTTTTTTATCTGCCATTTTTTATGACAACAAATAATCACAGAGTGAAATACATAGAACTAAGTATTAGAAACAAAGAAACTAGGAAATCAACTGTCATCATTGCTGACGACAACACACACACACACACACACAAAAACACTCGTTCTTTTAATTATCCAAAAAATGCGCTCGACAGAACGAACTACGACAACTGCATTGACATCCTTCTGTTCTTTCTTCGTGTATTAACATACTATTATGTTCTAGGACAGAACTCGATTGTCTACGAAAGATTGTGTCATCATCGACATAAATCGCTCATGTAAACTACATGCATAGTTGCACTAAGTAGATCGCTTGATGCCAGTGCAAGAGAGTACATATATTGTTATTCGTAATTATGTATTCATATATTTCAGTTAACCAAAGGAAACAGAGCTTTCTCTGCAATTTTTTTTCTTTCTTCAAGTATGTCTTTTGTAATCAATAGTTTCTTGTGGAATAATTGTTTCATTTTTCTTTTGTATTTCAACATTATAAAGAAGAAGAAAAAAATCCTTTTTTTAGATTGAATGCACATATATGTATGTGGCAGGTAAGTTTGGAATTTAGTCGAGTTTAGAATCGTTTTTTTTTAATTTTTTTTTAATAGAATTTTTGTTGAGATCTGACTTTAGAAATTTTTATACTGAGAATTATTCCTTGCATCTTTTTACAATGAATTTTTAAATAATTCAACTCTTGTCTATTTTTTAAACTATGGGGGCACGGAGACATAGATTTTATCTGAGAAATATTTCTTCTCTATTCTGTTTTTCTATAATCTATTATCACGAGCAGAAAAAAATATTTTTTCGATTAATTATTTTTTTCGCGCATTCCAATCTCAACTGAAATTTTCATGTCAACTATGACATATATATTTGTTAATAATGAAAGATTAATATGCATATGTATGAATGCTGTGATTGCAATTTGAGATAAACAAGTTTATTATTTTTTATGTCAAGGTAATTGTAGCTGTTGCTTACATTGTTTAATTCCCATATTTTTGTCCAAGTCATCGGTTTGTTAATGAAATATACAGAAAATTATATTTATTTCTCGATAAATTATCTTTCGTTATTCTTTGCAATGTCATCGATTTAACAGTTGCCATAAGTGAAAAACAATTACTTTATTGTTGACTACTCAAGACCGATATGACAAAGGACTAGAGTAAGAAGAAAACAAACCGTTGATAATGATCGATTGGTCGATAGATGATAAATATATACCGTTTATGTATAAATGCATACATATATATATATATATATATTACTTTCTTTTTTAGATTTATATATATATATATATATATATTTTTTTTTTTTTTAAACGATTATAACAATACTTCGTTGTTTTCTAGAGGTAATCGATTNTGTATAAATGCAAATATATATATATATATATATATATTACTTTCTTTTTTATATTTATATATATATATATATATTTTTTTTTTTTTTTAAACGATTATATCACTACTTCGTAGTTTTCTAGTCGTAATCGATTGAACAAGATTTTCTATCGCCGTTTCTTGATTTTTACGAGAAAAAAAAGGAAAAGAACCAATAGTCATTTAATAAAGAGGGCAAAACTTCGCTCCTTCTTTCTTTCCTTTTTGTTGTTGAATATTGCGAGTTGCAATTGACAATGAGACTCCATTTTCCTTGTTTTCTGAATGGAATGCGTGCACGTTTATGAATTCAAGCAATGAGACATGCTTGCAGATGTGCGCATCTACTTCGTAATACCCTAAGTTTTGCTGTTGTTATCCATAAATCTTCTTTTTATTATATTATTTGTACTAAAGACGTTTAATTTTACGATATATTTCTATCAAATATTAAGAAAAACTGAAAGCAGTTATCTATGTTGAAGAAAATTAAATATCATTGGCATAGAGAAATGTTTATTTCATATTTTCTAAACAGGATAATAGCTATGAAACAACACGAGCGCGATATATTTCACAAATAAATGCATTTTCTTCGAGACCGAATATATTATAGAACATGAGAAAGCCAAATAGTCCAACAAAAAACCCTTAAAATTTCTCTAGGCAATAATATATACATATTGCCTTGGTATCTATTATCCTTTTTTCTCTCTATTTATTCGTTCTCTCCACACATACATACACACCATCAATTCGTTTATGCATCAGTAGCCATGACGAATGAGTCATGAAAAACATTGCCCGCTTCTTTATTTCAAACCGTTTTCTAACATTATCAGTTGATCTACGCAAGTTTCTTCTACTTTCATAGCTGTCGCTTTTTCTTTGTTCTTGATATTGTTAGCGCACGCGCTGACAAAAATTTAAGAAGGGTGTATTCTGTAATGACTTTCAATGTAGAAAATAGAAAATAATAATCTTAACTGGTTGTACGTCTTAACAATTTCTTTTTTCTTTCTTTTCCCTATTATTACATAATAAACTACTATTCGAATTGTGATGATGATGATGATGATGATGATGATAGTAGTTTAATGTAAGTAGGAGTAGGAGTAGAAAACGGAGTAACCAAATCATTCGATGATGTGCACACGTCTGTGCATTAATGCTTGTCTAAATCTCTATTCGTGATAATAATCGATCCAATAAAGAGAGATAGAGGACGATAATTGTTGTTTTGTATGAGAACGGTAAAATCGAAAACATTGACTGCCTCCGCATATTTTATACGTTTCTCCAACTTTTTCTTTTTATTATTTAAAATATTTGCCAATCTTGAAAAATATAATGAATGCAAAAGTCTTAATTATACTTATAATGACTAAGTAACTTGATTTTTCCCAATCGATGAATGAAAGAAAAACAACTCTGTTTTTCTCGTAATTTTAATTTTTTTTTTCTTTTATATATTTTTTCTTTCTGTGACGATTAACAAGGGAATACTCTGCCAGGCTCAATCCGTTATATGATGACGTCATTTATCGGTTTTTCTTTCTCTCGCTCGACTGCTTGCGGTAGCAATAGCTAGATAACATTTCTTCTCCGGTCTATGTTTCTCTCTTTCTCTTTCTCTTTCTCTTTCTCTTTCTCTTTCTCTTTCTCTATTTTTCTTTTTTTCTCCCTCTGTGTGTGTTATTATTTGTATGTTCGTGTACGTGCGACCGATCGCACCAACACTATTGCAATCATCACCCAGAGTCAACGACAAACGAGCAGAAGAAAAAAAACGCTGTTTTGTTTTTAAATACATAAATACATATAGCCGATCAGTAACAATTCAACAAGGCTAACGCATGATTTCATTTACTGTATTTTTCAGATATTTGTCTATTTTATCCTATCAAGTACTATTAAATAAGGCAAATATTTCAAGATCTCGATCGTTATTTTTGGATCGAGTAATAGCCCTTGTTAACATTAAAATTATAAACTCAGTTTGGTGCCACTGAAAGATGGTATGTATTTGAAACAAAAGAAAAAAATAATTAATTATAATCATTATCAGTGTTCCTCTATTTATTTCTTCTATAGGTTGACGATAAAAAGGATAAAAAGAAGCCTGTTGAAAATAACCTTGAAGATCTCAAACGTGAACTTGAAATTGTAATTTTTATTTATGTCCGATTCAAAAAAGAAACACTAAAATTCACATCATTTCTAGGATGATCACAAAATATCTATGGAAGAACTTCTTCGAAGATATGAAACTGATCTTGAAAAAGTAAATATATAAAATATATGTATAATTATTGTTTTCAATTATTCTTAATTAGGGTTTGACAGATGCAAAAGTACGTGAAGTATTTGCTCGAGATGGTCCGAATGCATTAACACCACCGAAAACAACACCTGAATGGCTGAAATTCTGTCGTCAAATGTTCGGTGGTTTTGCTATGTTACTGTGGCTTGGTGCTATTCTATGCTTTTTTGCACATGGTATTAGTGTAGCAACGTATGAAGAAGCAGCAAATGACAACGTAAACATACGTTCAATTATTTTTTTGTTTATTTTTCTATATTTATTCATGATTTTTTTAATTTTAGCTTTGGCTTGGTATTGCATTGACAGTGGTCGTATTTATTACGGGTTGCTTTTCATATTTTCAAGAAGCTAAAAGTTCAAGAATTA